CGGATCTCATCTACGGACAGGGGGCCTGACACTCGCTCAGTGTTCAGGCGTCTTGCGTTGCTTGAGAAGCGATTGATCCAGGCAATGACCCGGGCCAGCTTGAGGAGGCTGCTGTAGCGCTCTGGATCCAATGCGGGCAAGGCGGCGATCGCCAGATAACTGAAATGAGCTATCTCAACTGCAGGCTTCTTCAGCTCTGCCGCCGCTGTTGCTGACAATGCCTTTCCTGGGGACGGCGTGTGTAACCCGGACATGTCTGGACCGCACCACCAGAACTGGGAATCTGCGAGCTGACTTGCAGACATACCACGCGTCAACAGGTCGGCTGGGTTGCGGGTAGTAGCTACATGCTTCCACTGGTCGGGATCACTCGCTGTCTGAATCGTGCCGACTCTGTGGGCAACGAACGGCTTGTACTTTCGGCTCTGTCCACGAATCCAGTAGAGGACATCAGCACTGTCAGACCAGAACGTGACAGTACTCATTGTGAGATCAAGCGAAGGTAGAAGAGACTTCACTAGCTGCAAACCAAGAACTGCGGCCATCAATTCCAACCTAGGAATACTGTGGACAGCAAGCGGGGCGACTTTCATCTTCGACGCGACGAGACGCATTGAGTCGCTGCCATCGCTGAACTGCTGCCGGATGTAGACGACTGGGCCGAACGCCTTTTCGGAGGCATCCACAAACACTTCCACGCTGCTAGTTGCTGTTGTCGCTGCTAATTGTCGCAGGCACCTCGGAATTTGAACTCTTTTCAAATCCGGTAGCTCGGCGCACCACGCTTCAGCTGCGCTGACGAGATCCTCTGGCAAGTCGGCGTCCCAATCGAAGCCTTCGATCCACATGGATTGGAACAGGACTTTGGCTCGGACGATGTACGGAGCTAGAAACCCGAGCGGATCAAATATGGTTGCCAGAATACGCAGAAACTGCCGCTTCGTCAGACGTGTGAAATCTGGCACCTTGTACTGAAATGTAAACATGTCGATCTCGGCCTGCCAGAGGACGCCGAGCGTCTTGATGTTCGGCAGCTGTTCGTCCGTGAGCTCCAGTTGACTTGCCCGATCCGCTTGTGGGATCTCCGCCAGAACCTCCGCCGAGTTAGAGAGCCACTTCCGCGCGTGCATGTTCGCTTGGCCCCAGAGATCCGACAAATCCGCATATAAGGACTTGGCTGCTGTAACATCAGGTGCTGACGTCATGCTATCATCCATGTATGTGGAGTCCAGCACGACACTAGCGGCTTGCGGCATCTCTGAGCTGAGCGATCTGGCATGCTGCTGCGACACGTACTGCGCTAGGAATGGCGAAGCATTGACACCGAACACCACGCTGCAGAATTCGTAAACTTCCGGTGGCTTACTTGGGTCTGTGCGCCACAGAAATCGATGGTAGCGCCGGTCGTCTGGATTTAGGCTGATACGGAGGTACATCTGGGCAATATCGCAGACCAGTGCTATCGGCTCACGACGGAACCTAACCAGTACATTCACCAGGTCTTGCTGTAGTTTGGGGCCGGGCAAGATGAAGTCGTTCAATGACTTGCCGTTCGACTTCGCTGCGGCGTCGAACACGATGCGTACTTTTGTTGTGGTCTTGTCCGGCTTGACTATCGGGAAGTGGGGCAAGTACCACGCGTTTCCGTCGTTGACGTCTGCGGCGTCAACCCGGCGCACATAGCCCTGGCTGATGTGTTCCGCTATCGTAGCGGCGTAGACTTCTCCGACTGCTGCGTCTCGCCTCAGCCGCTGCTCGGTGTTGGCCAAACGCTTCAGAGCAGTGTGGTAGCTAGCATTAGCTCCGGGCGGATGATCCTTCCATGGAATGCCAACACTGTATTGGCTTCCAATGTGCTTGATCGACTTTGCGACCGTCTCCTGTGCATGTCGCTCATCTGGGGTTAGAAGTGCCGCTCCATCTGCCGCGGGCTGACTGTCTACTTCCCAGAACTTCCTCACCAGCTGAGTGAGGTCGGCGTCTGACTGAGTCATCAGACAATGGTGCACGCTGGCCGACACCCGGGAGTCTCCCGCCGTTTGACTGATGGGACCCACACATGTCCAGCCGAGTGGTGTTCTCCGGGCACTTGGCTCACCTGGACCACCGATGACTTCTTCTAGCGATACATGCAGGCTGCTGTTGTCAATACCAATCAGAAGGTCCACTGTCGACCAATCACTGAGCTTCGGGAACTTGACATTCTCCAAGTGTGGCCAGCTCTTCTTGACAATCTTCCAGTCTACTGGTGTTAGCGACCGAGATACTGCTGGTACCGTGTTAGCACAGATGTCCACGCTTGTCTTCTTGGTCACGTCAGACAGTGTGACGGTGACTGGCATACTCTGAAACGTTTCTTGGTGCCCATTCAGAGTAGACATTGTAATCCTCTTCGTCTCTCCGCGGAGACCAAGTGCACCTGCGGCACTTGCGCTGATCAGCGTCTGCGTTGCGCCGTCGTCCAGGAACGCGTTGACCCGTATGGTCCGCTCGTTGTTGCTCAACAACACTGGCACAGTGCGCAGTGACCCTGGTGCTGCGCTGACGTTACTCGCTGACATAACGTTGCCGACGTTGTGCCTTGAAGGTCGCTCCCCTTCAGTGCTGCGGTCCGGTTCGCTGTGTACCTTGTCGAACTTCGGTTTACGATGCAGCAACCAATTGTGGGTGTCGCTGCACTTATCCACACCGCATTGTCTGGTTCTGGGACACTGCGCTCCACAGTGACCTGACCCAAGGCATCGATAGCATAGCCTTTTCTCTTTTGCCAGGTCCCATCGTTCATCCATGGTCTTTGCCTTGAAAGACGGACATTTCCAGACGGGGTGCTGCTCGCTGCAAGCGGCACAGCTCTCGCTCTTCTTCTCTGCTAGGAAGACTCTTCCGGACGACTCTGCGTTTCTCGGTTTCCGGTCATTGAAACCACCACGTCGCTGTCTGCTGCTGGCAGTACTGGCGATGCCGTCAATGGTTTCCGATGCAGTAGCCATTATTTCGGCTTCTCGGTTCACCCAATCTAGAAGAGTCGTCACAGATTCATTGGCATTGGTCTCCTGCACCCAGCGATGATACTGGACGAGGTTTTCCGTTGCTAGCTTCTTCTGCATACGTGTATACAAAGTACCCGTACCGAGTTCACTGGTCATGCCGGCATCCGTCATTTTTACCACCGCCACCTCTAGCAAATCTGCAAACTTCTCAAAGTCTGCTGCTCTGTTTTTCACTGCAGGGAAGTCCTCTAGTTCTTGCATATGGACGGCCACCAACCTCCGCTGTCCGCCATACCTCTTCTCAAGCCGTCTGCGTGCCGCACTATACGCTGATGGCGTGAAACCCAGGTTTTGTACGACCGCCAGAGCTTCGCCAGACAGGTACTGCCTAAGTTGCAGCATCTTCATTTCTGTTGAAGTTGCCTGCTGATCAATGGATACATCAAAAGCCGCCTTCCAAGCCTCGTATTCCCGTTTGTCGCCGGCAAACGTGGCAATAGAAACTTTCTTCATGTGCTTGGTGATGTCTGTCTGTGGCTGACTTGTTCGCAGGTACTGTGGCTGTTGCACGTTCTGCGGCTGATATTGTGGCGTATACGTCGATGGCAGCTGTTGCTGCTGCTGCGGTAGGTACTGTTGCGACGTGTACGTGTATGACGGCTGAGACTGCTGCGGTTGCGGACTGTACGAGTATGCTGCCTGGGACTGCTGCTGCGGTGCATACTGTTGAGGCGTATACGTGTATGCCAACTGAGACTGCTGCTGCGGTGCCGAATTCGGTGCTGTGTACGCCGGATTCGGTGCAGTGTACGCCGGATTCGGTGCAGTGTACGCCGGATTCGGTGCTGTGTACGCCGGATTCGGTGCCGTGTACGCCGGATTCGGTGCTGTGTACACCGGATTCGATGCCGTGTACGCCGGATTCGGTGCGGTGTACGCCGGATTCGGTGCCGTGTACGCCGGATTCGGTGCTGTGTACACCGGATTCGATGCCGTGTACGCCGGATTCGGTGCGGTGTACGCCGGATTCGGTGCCGTGTACGCCGGATTCGGTGCTGTGTACACCGGATTCGATGCCGTGTACGCCGGATTCGGTGCGGTGTACGCCGGATTCGGTGCGGGGTACTGCTGGCTCAACGCCAATGGCGCACCTGTACGCCGGGTGAAGTCCCTAGTAGTAGTAGCTGATGTACTTGGTGTACTCTGTATGACTGCTGTGCCAGTGGCCATAGTCACGAAACCCGTTGCCATGGGTACCCGTTGTGAACCCGTGCTGCTTGGTGCCATAGTTCTGGCTATTAATGGCTCTGGCTTCATTCTGGCTTGGCTAAGCTCAGATGCCTTCGGATCTGGCGACACCGTTGCCATAGTAACCGCCGACAACGATGACGTGACCCTTCCCTGGGTTGACGTTGCGGGCGTGTCAGACATACATGTACGCTTTACAGGTGCGTTGTTTTTTACTTTACTCTGGTAGACACCTGCACTCTCACTTACATCCACACCTGGTACCTCCTCTTCTTCATCATCTTCGTCGTACAGTTTCTCTTTCAACAACGACCTTACTTCTCTGATTTTTGCCGCACGTTCTCTGGTTGCGGGGCTGTGGCTGATGCTGGTGGCTTTGCTGGGCCGTTCTATTCTCAGCTGCTCCAGCACATCCCCCGCTCTCGATACCGCTTCGGCATATTGCTGTTCCAACAGCTGGACTTCCTCATACCAGTCTGCGGCATCACCTTCCACACAACAGGCGATGGTGGATGTGGCAAGAGCACTGAGGCCATCCAGTGCCCTTAGTATCTCCTTCTTGTCCGCTTCATCCTTGTTGATCTCTACTAGCAGCGCTCTTCTGCTGTTGGTGAACTGGGCCTTTGCCAGTGTTCTTTCCTTCTTCGTGGTTTCTGGCATTCTTGCTTGGTTACTGAGTCTCTGTCTTACTCTTACTACTACAATGTAGTTCTAGTACTACTGCCTAGACGTGACTACTATACTACAACTATTACGTCGATAACAACCATCCTCTGCTACCAAATGTTGCGGTGCGACTTGGTCCCGCAACTAACCTTCGTCAGACAGACCACAAAAACCCAGAAACTCCTTTAATCGACATTACCACTCGTTTCCAACAAGAACACCAAAGAACACACCGAACAACGATCGCCAAATCGCTGTCCTGGGCAAAACGTGCAGCGTGCGTGCATTTGGCTTGCGCTGCATGCATGCACACAACGACGTGGCATAGACGTGGCATAGAGAGAAAATGCAGCGTACAGAAAATGCATGATCATCGTAGCCATAGAGATACTAAATAGCAATTACTGTGTCGTAAAATGTGTCTCGACGTAGACGTAACAGATATGCACTCGTGATGTAATTCTAACAGACTAACAAAATAATTATTACACTCGCGAAATGCATAGCAGTAATACGCACCGCACCAATATTGCAAGCGACCTAGCATGTCTTGACAATACTGCCCTTGCAGCATGTGACAGTTCTGTACACAATTCGTAACTACAATACACTAATACAGTCAAATCTGCCGTTAGCGACCTCTGCTGTAGGCGACCATCTACCGTTAGCGACCGATTTTCCGTGCACCGACGGTTTCACATACAAACTGATCTGTCCAGAGCGACCATCTGCTGTGCGCGACCAGCGACCGCGATTTCATGCACGGTGGCTGCATTCAAATCTGCTGTAAGCGACCGCGACCCAGGTTCAGTAAGGTGCGAAAATGTACTTGCCAGTGCGCTGTCAACTGCAAAGTGTGAAAATGCGCTGTCTTGCAAGTGCGATCGACAGGCGCCTGGCCTGTACTCAGGCTGTGCTGTAGCTCTCAAGTCCAGGCAGTGTCGATCTACTGCCGGTGTCGCATACGCGTACTATACGGGTATGGTCGTCGTTGAATATCCAATAAAAATATTAAATCACATTATTCTCGTCGATTTGAGTACTATATTCTTTTATTCCACGATGGCGTGACGCCAATAAGGATGATTAATAAGTGCGATAGAACTGGTACTAGCCAGAAACAGCTAGATGGAAATTAACCGGGAGGCAAGAAGCAATGGATCATGAAAAACAAGCGGGGGCAATAATGTTAGCAGGGGTGATCGAGATAGTTAAGTACACGTTCGAGATATCAGAAACCAGGGGGATGCGCGGAGCAGGAGCAGGTACTGCTCAAAAGAAGACTGGATGCATTGTTTCGGAAAGAATTTCTACGAGGTTGGGTTGTGATGTCGATAGGGAGTGAGTTGTAGAGGGTGAGGGCACTGTTGATGGGGGAGTCTCGAGTACATGGAAGCATATACCTGGTATGCCGGATTTACCATACATCTGTCGTAAGAGACCATCTGCCGTAAGCGACCGCTTTTTCTTGCACCAAGGGGCGGTCGCTTACGACAGATTTGACTGTAGTATCAACGTGCAACATGTGACAACATGAAAGGATAATGTTCAAGAGTGCAGTCTCCTGTCCATCCGTGATGAACCTGAACAGACGTCCTCCGAATGACTTGTACCGACGAATGTGGCCTGGCAGAGGCACGTATATTGTATACGACTAAATAAAGAACAGAACAAAAAGACAGATCAGATATATTTTGAGCCGATGACGAGATCACAGGCCCGCTCTCTCTCAGGCCACATTGATCCATAAGATACAGTCGTGCTATCAAAGCTATGATAAGGAATTGCAGAACAGTTGGATGCACACGGCCGCACAGCCAGCAGGAGAAAGGGGACATGGATGAATTTCCTCCTGCTTTTAACTATGCCAACTATGCGCCCGGCGTGCACGTGTGTGAAACATAATCATTGAAACGGCTTTGATGAAGCCCTATGGGTTTCCTCCCCCCCCCTTCCCCCCCCCCCCCCCCCACTCCCCCCCCCCTCCCCTCCCCCCCCCCCCCAACAACATATACACACACACACACACCTCACCTCAGACCCGCCCATCGCGGAAGCGATGATAGCGAACAGCTATGTTAGACATAGCAACTTGTGCTGGGATTACACCATTCAACAGCTTGCAAGGCTGATGAATTGACCGCCATTAATTTTAGCCTGGTATCCACCACACAGCTGATTGAACTGGCTTTTTCTGGCCAGTGAATCCCTTTTTTCATTTTTTACTAGGGGTGAAACGGTTCGGGCAAGGAACCGGTTTTGGAACCGCCAGCTGAAAAGAATCGGGTACCTGTTCCGTCAAATTTCGAACCGAAACTCGAAAAATCTCGTTCTCTTACAAATGCATGTACGCGTCAAGTCTACTCAATATTTTACCTTACGATCACCGCTCTTCCAAGGACCAAAGGGTTCTCCTGGTCATTATCGTCTTCGCACATGGACTCTCCGATGTCTCGCTCTTGTTCGTAAACATGACTGTTTTCAAAAACAAAATTATTGTCACGAACACATTTTGTCGGTCTGGAGAAAAGAGTACATGGAACAGATACCCGAACCGTGGAAAACTATGCTGGTGTTAGGGTACCCGAACATGAAAAACATGGACCCGTTTCACCCCTATTTTTTACACACACACACACACACACACACACACACACATACACACACACACACACACATGTGCCCGTCGCGGAAGCGACAGTAGCGAACAGCTATGCTAGACATAGCAGCCTGCGCTGGGATAACACCATTCAACAGCTTGCAAGGCTGATAAATAGACCGCCACTAAGCCCGGTGAACACCACACGGCTGATTAAAGCGGCTTCGAGTTTCTGGCCAGTGAATCCCTATTTTCATTTGTTCATTTTTCAGTTTTCACACCCAGTCCCCAGTCCCCTATTTTGCGCATGCTTTACTGGAGACCTGTACATTATAGAGTCCTACCTACTCCCCCCCCCCCCCTCCTTCTCACCAAGCTAGCACCCCCCCCCCCCATTTATCACCAGCTAGCATCGGTAGCTCCCCCCCTCCCCCCCCCCCCAATTTTCACCAAGTAAGTTCGCATCACTAGCTCCCCCCCCCCCTCTCACCAAGCTAAAATGCTTAACCCCTAAGCTAAAATAACTACTCCTTCCCCCAGCTAGTATCACTTACCCTCCCCTTCTCTCTGCATGTCACATCACCCCCCACTCCTAGCCTCACCAGACAAATTTTCCACACAACACCCTGCCACAGCCCAATCCTATCCTCGGGCGCGTAACGTTAGTCCGCATGGGGCACGTGCACCCCCCTCCCTCCCCTCCTCCCCTCTCCCTTCCGCTCCTCCCCCCCCCCCCCCTACGCGCCTGTATTTTCTTATTCTTGCCTTACTGCACCAACATACCTTACGAGCGGCAACATCATCAGGAAATGTCCTAGCTGTCATGCTAGCTTCTTCCAGTAGAGCAGGGATCATCTCTTTCGAATCCGTCGTATCACGGACTTGAGACTGTGCAACCTGTGCGTCGTGGCCTGGATCCGAATTCGCCAATGTGTGATCAGCTGGACCCGAATTTGCAGCCCCTGCGTCGAGGGCTTGATCCGAATTATCAGTCACTGAGTCGTGGGATTGATACGAATTCTCAGTCACTACGTGGTTGGCTGGATCCGAATTCTCAGTCACTATGTCGTTGGCAGGATCCGAATTCTCAGTCACTATGTCGTTGGCTGGATCCGAATTCTCAGTGACTGTGTCGTTGGCTGGATCCGAATTCTCAGTCACTTTGTCCTTGGCTGGATCCGAATTCTCAGTCAATGCGTCGTGGGCTTGATCCGAATTCTCAGTCACTGTGTCGTTGGCTGGATCCGAATTCTCAGTCACTATGCCGTTGGCTGGATCCGAATTCTCAGTCACTATGTCGTTGGCTGGATCCGAAATCTCAGTAACTGTGTCGTTGGCTTGATCGGAATTCTCAGTCACTGTGTCGTTGGCTGGATCCGAATTCTCAGTCACTATGTCGTTGGCTGGATCCGAAATCTCAGTAACTGTGTCGTTGGCTTGATCGGAATTCTCAGTCACTGTGTCGTTGGCTGGGTCCGAATTCTCAGTCACTGTGTCGTTGGCTGGATCCGAAATCTCAGTAACTGTGTCGTTGGCTGAATCCGAATTCTCAGTCACTGTGCCCTTGGCTGGATCCGAATTCTCAGTCACCGTTTCGTTGGCTGGATCCGAATTCTCAGTCACTGTGTCGTTGGCTGGATCCGAATTCTCAGTCACCGTGTCGTTGGCTGGATCCGAATTCTCAGTCACTGTGTCTTTCCCTGGATCCGAATACTCAGTCAATGCGTCGTTGGCTGGATCCGAATTCCCAGTCACTGTGACCTTGGCTGGATCCGAATTCTCAGTCAATGCGTCGTTGGCTGGATCCGAATTATCAGTCACTGTGCCGTTGGCTGGATTCGAATTCTCAGTAACTGTGTCGTTGGCTGGATCCGAATTCTCAGTCACTATGTCGTGGGATTGATACGAATTCTCAGTCACTACGTGGTTGGCTGGATCCGAATTCTCAGTCACTATGTCGTTGGCTGGATCCGAATTCTCAGTCACTATGTCGTTGGCTGGATCCGAATTCTCAGTCACTGTGTCGTTGGCTGGATCCGAATTCTCAGTCACTTTGTCCTTGGCTGGATCCGAATTCTCAGTCAATGCGTCGTGGGCTTGATCCGAATTCTCAGTCACTATGTCGTTGGCTGGATCCGAATTCTCAGTCACTGTGTCGTTGGCTGGATCCGAATTCTCAGTCACTTTGTCCTTGGCTGGATCCGAATTCTCAGTCAATGCGTCGTGGGCTTGATCCGAATTCTCAGTCACTGTGTCGTTGGCTGGATCCGAATTCTCAGTCACTATGCCGTTGGCTGGATCCGAATTCTCAGTCACTATGTCGTTGGCTGGATCCGAAATCTCAGTAACTGTGTCGTTGGCTTGATCGGAATTCTCAGTCACTGTGTCGTTGGCTGGATCCGAATTCTCAGTCACTATGTCGTTGGCTGGATCCGAAATCTCAGTAACTGTGTCGTTGGCTTGATCGGAATTCTCAGTCACTGTGTCGTTGGCTGGGTCCGAATTCTCAGTCAATGTGTCTTTGGCTGGATCCGAATTCTCAGTCACTGTGTCGTTGGCTTGATCCGAATTCTCGGTCAATGCGTCGTGGGCTTGATCCGAATACTCAGTCACGGCGTAGTGGGCTTGATCCGAATTCTCAGTCACTGTGTCGTTGGCTGGATCCGAATTCTCAGTCACTGTGTCCTTGGCTGGATCCGAATTCTCAGTCACCGTTTCGTTGGCTGGATCCGAATTCTCAGTCACTGTGTCGTTGGCTGGATCCGAATTCTCAGTCACCGTGTCGTTGGCTGGATCCGAATTCTCAGTCACTGTGTCTTTGCCTGGATCCGAATACTCAGTCAAAGCGTCGTTGGCTGGATCCGAATTCCCAGTCACTGTGACCTTGGCTGGATCCGAATTATCAGTCACTGTGTCCTTGGCTGGATCCAAATTCTCAGTCACTATGTCGTTGGCTGGATCCAAATTCTCAGTCACTTTGTCGTTGGCTGGATCCGAATAATCAGTCAATGCGTCGTTGGCTGGATCCGAATTCTCAGTCACTGTGTCGTTGGCTGGATCCGAATTCTCAGTCACAGTGTCCTTGGCTGGATCCAAATAATCAGTCAATGCGTCGTTGGGTGGATCCGAATTCTCAGTCACTGTGTCGTTGGGTGGATCCGAATTCTCAGTCACTGTGTCCTTGGCTTGATCCGAATTCTCAGTCACTATGTCGTTGGCTGGATCCGAATTCTCAGTAACTGTGTCGTTGGCTGGGTCCGAATTCTCAGTCACTGTGTCGTTGGCTGGATCCGAAATCTCAGTAACTGTGTCGTTGGCTGAATCCGAATTCTCAGTCACTGTGTCCTTGGCTGGATCCGAATTCTCAGTCACCGTTTCGTTGGCTGGATCCGAATTCTCAGTCACTGTGTCGTTGGCTGGATCCGAATTCTCAGTCACTGTGTCGTGGGCTGGATCCGAATTCTCAGTTACTGTGTCGTTGGCTGCATCCGAATTCTCAGTCACTGTGTCGTTGGCTGGATCCGAATTCTCAGTCAATGCGTCGTTGGCTGGATCCGAATTCTCAGTCACTATGCCGTTGGCTGGATCCGAATTCTCAATCACTGTGTCGTTGGCTGGATCCGAATTCTCAGTCACTGTGTCTTTGGCTGGATCCGAATTCTCAGTCACTGTGTCTTTGGCTGGATCCGAATACTCAGTCAATGAGTCGTTGGCTGGATCCGAATTCTCAGTCACTGTGACCTTGGCTGGATCCGAATTCTCAGTCACTTTGTCCTTGGCTTGATCAGAATTCTCAGTCAATGCGTCGTGGGCTTGATCCGAATTCTCAGTCAATGCGTCATTGGCTTGATCCGAATTCTCAGTCACTGTGTCGTTGGCTGGATCCGAATTCTCAGTCACTGTGTCGTTGGCTGCATCCGAATTCTCAGTCACTGTGTCTTTGGCTGTATCCGAATTCTCAGTCAATGCGTCGTGGGCTTGATCCGAATTCTCAGTCAATGCGTCATTGGCTTGATCCGAATTCTCAGTCACTGTGTCGTTGGCTGGATTCGAATTCTCAGTCACTGTGTCGTTGGCTGCATCCGAATTCTCAGTCACTGTGTCTTTGGCTGGATCCGAATTCTCAGTCAATGCGTCGTGGGCTTGATCCGAATTCTCAGTCAATGCGTCATTGGCTTGATCCGAATTCTCAGTCACGGTGTCGTTGGCTGGATCCGAATTCTCAGTCACTGTGTCGTTGGCTAGATCCGAATTCTCAGTCACTGTGTCTTTGGCTTGATCCGAATTCTCAGTCACGGTGTCGTTGGCTGGATCCGAATTCTCAGTCACTGTGTCGTTGGCTGGATCCGAATTCTCAGTCAATGCGTCGTGGGCTTGATCCGAATTCTCAGTCAATGCGTCATTGGCTTGATCCAAATTCTCAGTCACTGTGTCGTTGGCTAGATCCGAATTCTCAGTCACTGTGTCGTTGGCTAGATCCGAATTCTCAGTCAATGTGTCATTGGCTTGGTCCGAATTCTCAGTCACTGTGTCTTTGGCTGTATCCGAATTCTCAGTCAATGCGTCATTGGCTTGATCCGAATTCTCAGTCACGGTGTCGTTGGCTTGGTCCGAATCCGACCCCACTGTGCCGTGCGTTAGATGGAAATTCTCAGTCATTGAATCTGTGCCGTGGGCTTGATCCGAATTCTCACTCACTGTGACATGAGATGGATCTGCATTCTCAGACGGTGTTTCGTGGGCTTCAACGGAACTAGCAGCTACCGTGTCGTGGGCTCGATGTGAGCGTGCAGCAGCTGCTTCATTGGCGCTACATGTATCTGAGTTCCCCGCCGACTCCACACGGGGAAACGACTCCGAGAGTGTCAACCCTGTACTTGGCATGGGATGCTTAGCAGGCGAGGGAATCCCGGCTGCATTGAAGCCTGAAACTCCTGATGGTCTCGCTGAGTTCCACTCAACCCCACCACCATCCTGTAGTATCGCTGGCGAGTGTGTTCCCAGTCTGCTGAGGCGGCGTAACTCCTCCGCGTGGAGAGAGGAGCGAAAACGGAGCACACCCTCAGGCTGTGCTGACGGTTCGACTGGCAACTTATGGTAGAAGTACACGGCGTCGGAACGTTGTGCTGATGTTGCTGCGTCTTTCAGAACCCAGGAAATACAGGCAACGCGGTACGGCATTGGCGCCTCTGATCCTGACCCTCCAGCAGCTGGTGCCCATGCGATCATAGTTCGTGGCGCGTCAAATCCGTTTGGACTCAGCCATAGTGTTAGCCCCAAGGATCTGGGGTTGTCTGCGGGACTCCATGTACGTTGCAAGATGATGATCACAGCTAGGAGAAGGAACATCATGGTGATCTGGGGGAGTACACAAGCAGACACATGCATGCACATACGAAAACCCACAGATTCGTGCATGCATGCACACACACACACACACACACACACACACACACACACACACACACACACACATGCCCATCGCGGAATCGATGATAGCGAACAGCTATGTTAGACATAACAACTTGTGCTGGGATTACACCATTCAACAGCTTGCAAGGCTGATGAATTGACCGCCACTAATTTTTAGCCTGGTATCCACCACACAGCTGATTCTGGCCAGTGAATCCCTATTTTTCATTTTTCATTTTCCATTTCACACACACGCCACACCACACCACATACTCCGGCATACACTGGCTGTTGGTAACCACCCAGGAGAATGAACGAAGAGCTAGGAGAATGAGAAAGAGAAGAAAGACATGTGCGACCATAATCGTCGGGAATTGAACCCGGAACCTCTCGATTGGAAATCGACCGCACATACCACTGCACCATATGGGACACACACACACACACACACACACACACACATCCATAGGCAACTCCTGAGTCCTACCAAATGCCGTTATTCGCAAAGCTGACTCCGCAGCCATGCTCAATGACATCCGCCTTCATTGTGCCAAATATGCAAGCACTTTTGGTCAGAAATCACATACTGTAGTACTGTCGGGTGTCGAAGACCGACCACTGGCTAGGCTTTCACCAAGTACAGCATACCAATATTTATACTGAGATTGTATACAAACTCCCCTCTCTCCCCACCCAACACTCCAGACTTGTATTTTCCATGAAACAGGTGCTTCGATGACGAGAATTTAGACTGGTATATAAACACTTTTTGTAGGATCAGACTAGTGCCCGGCAGTCCGCCTTCATGGTTTTACGACATGTACGGTGGTCCCAACTTCAGGATCTATTTCCCGTCAACGATGAAGAACAGAAGTTTGTCCTTTTTGATGGCCGTTTGCACCTACTTTCAGACCTTCTTTCAGACTCTTCTTGCATTTTTGCATCGACATAGAATGCAGATAGCAGGGACGACAGAACTTCACCACTGACGGTTTTCCAATCGATGTTCTCCTTTCCGCGTCCCTCGCAGAGCTGACGGAACATGCACCGCCATAATCGGTGGCACTGCGAGTTTTCTTAGGAACTGCTGTTTGAATCATGAACGACATCGTGGTTGTCCTCAGTGGAAGAACCAAAGCGACGTTTGGGAGTCGATTCAACTGGCTCGAGCTGGCTCACAAGGAATCGAGATTCAACAGGCTCGTGCTGACTCATTTTACTCTTACGTTGGAGAGGAGACGAACTCTAATGAGCAAACAATAGCGTTTATTTTAGCAGGTTAGTTTTACCGAGTAGAGCCCAAGGCGAAATCTGCGCGCAGTATAACGGTCATTGCGCGTTCAAACTTGGCGCATAGCTGTTACTTCCGATGTAACTAGTCACAAATCATGTGTGTGTGTGGTAGATGGTTCAAGAGTGCTGGTGGGCTGAAGGTACATAAGTGCCCTCTCGCAGGTTCCTCCCAACAGCCTTCTGACTCAGTCGATCCTGCACCTCGCCTAGTGCTTCAACACCAACATTGTTGCCCATCCCACTGCCCGTCATGTAACCGGTGCTTTCGATCTGCTGCTGCATTTAAACGGCACAATTGCGAGCGTGGCAAGCGACCAACAGCGAGGGAGTGTCTTAAGTTCAAGTTCTGCTGTGCGTGCGGCGAGAGATATCGCAGACAGCAGGATCTGCAGCGGCATGAGGCTGGATGTTCTGCCGCGACGCCGTGATGCTACCCCTTTGTTCCCCTCCTCATGAGGGCAGCTTAGGCCCTTATCACACTGCGTTCAAAAGTCGCGTTTGCGTCTGCATTTTCTTCGGTTTTTGACGGTCGCCTAGGAAATGCCATCACGTGACGTTATCGCGAGCCCAGACGCACAGCCGCAGACGCAGACGCACAGCCGCAGACGCAGACGCAAACCTGGGGGGAGGGGGGGGGTAGTCAAAACCGAATCCCGCAAACGCAGATCGGACTTTCTTTATCGCAGCACTTCCTGCATTGTTTTTGAGTGTTTTCAAGTGATTCTCAAGTGTGCTTTTCAAATCTTCATTTCCATCTAGTTGCTGAGGCCGGCGAGGGTACTTCTACTACATGTACTGATTGATTGATTTTGGATTCGCGAGGCATGGAGCTGATGCGAGCTCGTGGCTGTCTGGCTGAGGTTGCGCTGACTAGTTGGCGGCGACTAGCCTAGCTGGACGATGTGCCTCAACAACGGAACTGCCACCCCAACACAGGCAACACAACGACTGCAGTCTTCCCATCGACTCCCATTCCCCCAGCACCACTGACAAAGGACATAGGAGCAGAAACAGAACACTTCTCGATCTCAGGAAAATAAATTCAACATCCACGGCCACCTCGAGATCGATTCCCCACATTTTTGTATTTTCCCGCGCGCACAGATTTTGACGGAAACGTGCTGAAAATCACAAGTATAGTATGATATCACGTCTTGCGTTTTCCAATCTCAAACGCAAACGCAGACGCAAACGCGACTCAAACAAACGCAGTGTGATAACGGCCTTAACCGTTTAACGGCAGCTGTTTGTGAAGGTCAAGGTGTGTGTGTGTGTGTGTCTGTGTGTGTGTCTGTGTGTGTGTGTGTGTGTGTGTGTGTGTGTGTGTGCAGGCGCGTGCGCCATATGGGTTCCTGGGTGCCCGGAACCCCCCTTTTTTCGCTCAAAATGCAGGATTTTGCTTCTTTTTTGAAAATGTTCCCGGGGGACGCCCCCGGAACCCCCCTTGAAGGGCACCGGCGCACGCGCCTGGTGTGTGTGTGTGTGTGTGCGTGTGTGTGATGGCACTGCACTGCACGGCATGCACTGCACTTGTTAGTTATACTAGCTCTGCACAGGTGTGGAGAAAGAAAGACTCTATGGTTGTGGGTTGGAACTCCGATCTCCACTTTTGTGGGAGAGAGGGGAGTTTGTGTTCAGCTCAGTATAAGCATAATATAACCTACTGGGTTTCAATAATATTTTAGTTTTAAAATATACAGTCACACTTGTCGAACAAGTAACGTAGTTGCGTGATGTCTGCGGCCTTCATCCCATTTATAGCTATATAACCTACTCAGTCGATTATATGGGTACTACAAACCTATACAAACCTCGGCTTCGCCTCGGTTTGTATAAAGGTTTGTACTTCAGTAGTACCCATACTTGAAGTACAATCAACTGGTTTCGTTATATTATATACATACACACATGGTGACCCAACTGTGTATAGAGTGCAATACATGAAAATACGAACGGCCTCGACAAGGAGGCTGACAACCCAGTTCTTGAGGTTTAATTCAGTCAAAACAGGACTTTCAAACGTCATCGCGGGCTATTGTGGAGGAATGCAATGCAATTTATTTCCCTCACTTCAGTTTGTCCTTCGGTGCCTTGCTTGGTCGGCTTGCTTTCCGCAGTTCGCTGATCCTTGCCGTCCGCAAGATCCTCCCTCACTTGGGAAATCTCATCTCTTGCGCTCAGTGAGGCCTCCTTGGCGTTGGTTGCTTCCTGCTTTGTAGCGGCGGCAACGGCTTGTAGCTGCACGATCTTCTCCTCCTGTCTAGTCTGAAACTCATCCAGTCGGTTGAGAAAGACCCCAAAATAGCTTGGTGGCGAAGGGCCCTAAAACACACAACAAAAATCATTTAGAACAAAAATGAAGAAAAACAGAAAAGCAGAAAAACAGAACAGCTCCCAGAAAAAGTGCATGTGTTATCAAGTAGTCTGCAGCACCAGGCCCGTCCAGGGGCGCAGCTGGTCCCCCTTTCTCAGGAGGGGGGAGGGGGGGGGGGGTGCACGGCCGGATATGTATTGGATGGCTGGTGCATGTCATTTATGGTCATTATGTGCATGCTGAGCCTAGGTCGACATTTTTAGGGGGGGGGGGTGGTTCACATGCCCCGTGCCCCGTCCGGGGTACGTATCTGAGCACAAACGGAGATCATAATAACTTCCAGCGCACACAACTGCACTAGTCCTTTGTTACACCAAAACAAAAACAAAAACGAACTAAACTTCCGTATCTTCAAGTCCATCCAAATTGGCAAAAGCCCTGGAGAGATTGAAGTTTTATTTTGGTGGCGCCAAGGACTAAGGGACCATCCGGCATTATCGATAATTTTCACGAAAGGAAAAGGTTTAGTTAGGAATTTCTCCCACCCACCCCCTGAACGAAAAATAGATTGACTTGACAGCTAGAATGCATTGATGTCACACATCAATATTTTCGAAACGAAACTCTCCTTGACCCACCCACCCAAAACGAAACTTTTTTTTATTTTCGTGTAAATGATCGATTATATTGGACGGGCCCTTGGTGCGGCTGTACTCGCTGGAAGTTATTGACAACGCTACAGAGGAGATGTGCTACTGATACACTAAATGTGAAGCCCTTCAATAAGATGCATATCAACGATACCTGTTCACTCTTCTGTTGTATTCGTTCGCGTCCTACGTTTACGCAAGTCATGCTCACACATAGCCGTATGACACATACTTCTACACACATCAACTCGTGCACACACATATACACGTGCATACACACACGTACACGCACACAAACACACATACATGTGCATACACACACATGTGCACACACATATGTGAACATCCACAAACACACACACACGTGCACAGATCTGCAGACACAGACCCACCTCCAGGATCGCCAGAGCGTCGGCAGCACTCAGCCGCAGCCTCGCGTCGGTATTCAGGCACCGGACAATGACATATTTCCAGGGATGGTCATCCGCCAGCTGGCGTACGTCATCCCTTCGGTCGCCTAGGTTTCGACAGTCCTCATCGCCACCGAAGGGCAAACGTCCGGTCAGTGCGCACAGGGCCACAACGGCAAATGAATACATATCTACACTCTCATTGTAAGCCTCTTCTCCTCTCTTCTCCGTCTCTTTTCCTGGATAAGCCTCTGGTGCTGTGTAGTAATTGTGGTGACCGAATGCCGGCGAGAGCTGCTCTCGCATTGAGGAGTCAGTATTGCGGATACGTCGTGCGCTGCCTAGATCCGCTAGCTTAGCGTACCGTTCGTCCCGAGTGAGAAGAACGTTATCGAGATTCACATCGCGGTGCATGTAGCCTTTCTGATGCATATCCTTCAGGCCACGGAGTGCTCCCAGTAGGTAATGCTGGATAGTGGCCTCTGGTCGCGGGGGACCGACAGGCTCGAAGATAAACTGGCCCAGGGTTGGACCAAGCCTCTCCATGACGATCGCCGGGCATCCGTCAACAGTGGCCCGTGCGTGCACCTTGACAATATGATCGCTACGGCAGATGTGGCCGCAGTGGAGCTCCGCTTCGAATCGTTGCCGATTTTCCTTGTAATGCTGTCTGAGCTCTGGACGAAAGCCATGGTCATCTTCTCGATGGCACCTCTCAGGCCTCAGCTTCTTCAGTGCCTCAGCTCCTTCATGCTCGAAGACGATAGCACTGTTTCCGCGGCCCAGCTCTCTTGCAGTAGGACACAATGTGATCACTCCCCTATGAGGTAACTGGCTGCCGGCGCTTTCCTGTCCCTTCACGTTCATGATACTCGGATTACGCGCCTAAAGTTGCAAACTACGAACTCGATGTTCACCTCTATCTAGCCACACGGCTCCAGTAACACGGCGAGCAGACAGACTCGCGGTAGAAATCAAGAGGAAGGAGGGCAAGTTACTTCGCCCTCCTCTTCTGCCGATGCACGGGGCAGGGCTAGCAAGAAAAACCGGAATCTGCCAAAATATTTCTTGCAAGAACGCACGATCCGACCACGGCCAGTAGATCTACACTGCCAATGGATACTGCGATAGCGCGCGCTACATGACGTCTACGCACGGAGCTCAACAAGAGACGATAGGCAGCGTAGAACACACTGTCACACAGTCCCAAGAAAAAAAAGGTCCAAGGTCGGGCGCGCGTGGGATATTATTATTCCCAACACGAACATTCAGGAAAGGCAGTTTTAGTAGACTGAGTCCAGACTCTATCTTCTAGTCTGTTGATCATGGTTGATCACGTTGGCATGCAAGCCGCTGAGCGAGCTGTGCCGATAAACTACTTACTAGTACTAGTATCTTTGGTACAGCCTTCGCGGCAGAGCTGGCGCATGGGCCATGCCCAAGGCAAGTGTTCGATGCCCATCAGCATGTGCATGCGTGATGCCTGATGGTCTCTCGCTGCACCCGCACCGACCGTGTAGATCTACCTGGCTGTAACTAACTAACGTTACTTGTAAGTATAAGTGTAAGTGTAACGACACGTACAAACCAGGGCTAGGGAGTCGCAGGCCTAGGCTAGGCTAGGGTTGTAGACTAGGCTATAGTATAGCCTAGTATAGGCTACGGCTCCCCTAGTATGGTAGTAGAGTCTACCAAGAGGTGATGATCAGGCCTCCGCGGAATGTGCCGGCATAATTTCGGGAATTATCGGTGTGATTTTAAAACGGGAATTATTGGCAATTTTTGTGGAATAATCGGTAAAATTTGAGCAATGCCCCCTTTTTTCAATTTTTTCCATTTATGACACCCTGATTTGTACCAAAAAGCTCATGATCCTGAAGTTGATCGCCCGGTATTTCACGCGAACCGTGATTTTTTGCCCGTACAAGTGGCAAAAACCCCGTACGCGGTATGGTATCTGCAAAAAAGGGAAGAAAAAAATAATTATTGTGAGAATTATTGGTGGAATTACGGGAATAATCGGTCGAAATTTTGAGCAATGCTCAAAAGAATTATCGGTAAAAATACGAGCATATTCCGCGGAGGCCTAATGATGGATATTGCCAGGCATTAGAGAGGTTAAGTTACACGTTTTTTGCCCTTTTTCAAAACGCGGTGCAAATCTCACGTTACGTGTAATTTTTAGAGGTTAAGTTACACGTGCGACGTGACGTGAAATTTTGCCTGGCAGGATTCGGGTTTAGTTCGCACAAATATCAAATCTTCCAATAAACTTGATAAATCTCGATAAAATTCCGGAAACTCACACAAATTCGGTCGGGATAACCAAGCGAAACTTCCAAAACTCACGTCATGAACTTACGTGCGGGACAGTCAACTCACGTAAAACACGTCAAATTTTACGTGAGTTTTTTCACTTTTTGACGTAAAAGTTCACGTAATAGAGAGGTTAAGTTTCACGTAAAAGTCTTACGTCCGTGAACTTTTACGTCAAAAAGTGAAAAAACTCACGTAAAATTTGACGTGTTTTACGTGAGTTGACTGTCCCGCACGTAAGTTCATGACGTGAGTTTTTGGACGTTTCGCTTGGTTATCCCGACCGAATTTGTGTGAGTTTCCGGAATTTTATGGAAATTTATCGAGTTTGTTGGAAGATTTGATATTTGTGCGAACTAAACCCGAATCCTGCCAGGCAAAATTTCACGTCACGTCGCACGTATAACTTAACCTCTAAAAATTACACGTAACGTGAGATTTGCACCGCGTTTTGAAAAAGGGCAAAAAACGTGTAACTTAACCTCTCTAATGGCATAGATCTACCCGCTCAGAGTAGACATCATGGTCATGATCGATGATAGACCTACTAGTACTACAGTATTAGTAGTACTAGTAGTACTAGTAGTAGTAGTAGTAGGTCTACTACTACTACTAGTAGTCTACCTACTACTACTACTACGGTACTAGTAGACCTACTACTACTAGTACTACTAAGTACTAGTACTACTAGTACTACTAGTAGTACTAGTAGTAGTAGAGATCGAGAGCCTACTACTAAGTACTAGACTGGTACATCAGCAGTACTGAATGTATGTAGTTATTAATTTTTTTTCTTTTTTATAAATACAGTCATGTACATGTACACCACTGTACATGGATTTTCCAAGGCTTCACTTCAGAGAGGTATTGTTGACGGGATTTCCCCCAATGAATCCCAAGCGCGACGAAGACAGAACATGATTGATGACTAAGCTGGGCTGAGGTGAGGTCGAAGAACGGCCAGGTACGCTGCCTGTACGGAGGATTAGCAAGACGAAATTCGCGTTCGCGTTCGCAAACATTTTTCGAACTTTCGCATTTTTCGTTCGGAAAAATAGTCGGAACACGAATCGCGGATTCGTGTTCCTCCGTAGTGTATTGTACATGTACTGTATATGTAGTAGACTGTCGACGTCGTGGACAGAGCTAGAGGTAACTGAACTGGTTTAGTCCCACGTAATCCGTGGGTACTTTACGTGTGTGTAGATGAATGCAAGAATCTCTCATCCTCACCAGCGAGTGTCAGTGTCAGTGCAAGTGTGATAACTGTTCAATGATGATGTCAGTGCATGTAGCAAGTGTGATAACTGATAACTGTTCAATGATGATGTCAGTGCAGTGCAAGTGTGATAACTGTTCAATGATGATGTCAGTGCAGTGCAAGTGTGATAACTGTTCAATGATGATGTCAGTGCAGTGCAAGTGTGATAACTGTTCAATGATGATGTCAGTGCAGTGCAAGTGTGATAAGTTGATAACTGTTCAATGATGATGTCAGTGCATGTAGCAAGTGTAACAACTAACTTGATGAGTCAAGGAATAGATACCCAATGGGAGTAGATAGCATGGTATATATAGGGGGGAGAGCATAGGTGATAACTAACACAATGCAAGTGTAGATGATGTAAGTGTGGGGATAAGGTGTGAATGGAAGTGTGAGGGTAATCACTAACTCAATGCTGGTGGAATATGTCACATCTCTCCTTTCCCTAATGATTAGGAGTGTACCTTGTTAAGAGTAGGCATACAGGCAAGGTCTAGTAAAAGATGAACTATGTAGGGAATATTAGAAGTCCAATAGGCTGATGCATGGAGGTCAAGCTGCGCATGCGTGTCTAGATTCTCAATCATGTTGTACTAGTAGTAAACATAGTCATCTGCCTTCTTTTCTTTTCTATTGCGCTGCGGATAGCGAGGCTCTTCCGGACTGTCCAATCTATCCGCGTCATCTGTTGCTTCCGGAGGGGTCATGCCGTCACCCACACTCTCCGGGCCAGAGGGAACGTTGTCATCACTCGTATCCGGCATGCGCGCTGCCGACTCCTGCTTGTCATCATTTTTAGGTTCGTAGTTGGTGCGTAGATGACGGGATGTGCGCCTTCTTCCATCTGTCAGTATGTATGATCTTGGCGCTTCATGTTGTTCTCTAACACTGCTAGGTGTCCATTTCTCTCGTTCACGAACCAGCACATCGTCACCTGGCCTGAATTCTGGTCGTTCTTTTGCAGTTCGGTTATAGTAGTACTCCTGGCGAGCTTGTTGCTTTTGAAGACCTGCCGCAGGGTCCACCGTCTTGGGTTCCAGCTTTTTCGCTGGCATTGGCAGTCGGTCCCGCAGCCTGCGTCCCATGAGCACCTGTGCTCGGCTGTATTCTGTGCCGGAGATTCTGGTGTTCCGATAGTTCAGCAGCGCCAACTCTGGATCCATTGAGTGGTCTTCCAGCGCTTTTTTCATAATTCGTTTCACTATTTTCACCATATTTTCACTTTTTCCATTGCTTTGGCTGTATGTCGGTGAGCTTGTGACTATTTTGAATTGCCACTCTTTTGCAAATTCCTTCATCTCTTTGCTCGCGTATGGCATGTTGTCTGCTATCATGACTTCCGGTATGCCGTGGCGAGAGAAGATGTTCTTGAGCTTGGTAATGACAGCTGCCGAGGTTTTGGTCGTGCCTAGACAGTTGACTTCTGGGTACTTTGAAGTGTAGTCAGCTACGACCAGGTACTAGCGTCCATTGAACTCCAGTATGTCACTCCCAAGCTTGGTCCAAGGTAGTTTTGGTATCTCATGTGGTAGCATTGGTTCACGGCAGTTGCTTGGTTGGAATCGCTGACACACTGGGCATCGCTTGACCATGTCTTCAATATCTTGCTGGATTCCAGCCCAGTAAACACATTCCGATGCACGGTATTTGCACTTCTCCACGCCTTGGTGTGATTCGTGGAGAATCCGTAGAACATATTGTTGCATGCTGGCTGGCACAATAAACCGTTCACTCACAAAGAGGATGCCGTCCAAATATGAGATTCTGTCCCTCATGCTCCAGAATCGTCTGACACAGGGCGGTGTAGCCTTGAACGTTTCCGGCCAACCATCCTCGACGACCTTCTTCAGTAGTTGCAGCTCACTGTCTTTCTTTGTCTCTGCAATTAGCTGGTTGAGTCTCTCCTCTGTGGTGTCTGTGAGCTCGCCCATATCATAGACCAGGACGCCGTCCTCTAGGGTTTGCGAGGCCGAGTCTACTGTAGCTCTTGATAGAGGGTCTGCAAGCACCATGTCCACGCCTTTCTTGTACTGGACATCCAGCTGGTACTGCTGCAACCGTAGCATCATTTTCTGTAGGCGCAGAGGAGCTTCATGAAGTGGCTTCCGCAGGATGATTTCTAGCGGCTTGTGATCTGTTTCAACCACGACATCCTGCCCCAGGATGTACTGTCGGAATCTATCGCACGCAAAGCAGATAGCAAGTAGCTCCTTCTCAATTTGCGCGTAGTTCTCTTCAGACTTAGTAAGTGCCTTTGATGCATATGCGAAGGACGGACTGGGTGCTTGCCTACTCCAAGCAGGTAGACCTGCTTGGAGTAGGCAAGCACCCAGTCCGTCCTGGCCTTGGATGCATATGCTTGAATCACGACGTCTTCTTTCGGGTCAAATAGTTTCAGCACGGGAGCCGTCGTCAGCATTTCCTTGATTGTCTGGAAGGCTATAGTATGTTCTTCACACCACAGCCAGTTTGTGTCATCCTTGAGTAGCTGCCGGAGTGGTGCTGTAATGGCCGACTCATTAGGAATGTACAGTGCTAGAAAGTTGACCATCCCCAGGATTCGTCTCAGCTCAGCGGCATTCTTTGGTGATAGTAGAGACTTGATTGCATTGACCTTCCCAGGATCAGCTCGAATGCCCTCCTCTCCAATTAGGTGGCCCATGTAGCTGACTTCCGATACTTTGTATTGAAACTTGTCGGGATTGAATTTGACTCCTTTCTCTCGTGCTCGTCCGAGTACAGTCTCAAGTACTTCATCATGTTCACCATCTGTCTCTCCAGCGACAACCGTGTCGTCTACCATTATGTGCGTGTCTTCGATGTCTCCAAACGTCTCGTAGTTCCGTCTCTGCAAAATGTCACTGGCGGAGCGTATCCCGAAAGGCATTCGGAGAAATCTCATTCGTCCCCATGGGGTGTTGAATATGCAAAGCTTTGATGACTCTTCGCTGAGCTTGACTTGCCAGTATGATGATGATTGGTCAAGCACAGAAATTACTTTCTTGCCCGCCAGCTTGCTTTGGACGTAGTCAAGTGTGGGGGCTGGAAATGGCTCACGGATGATGGCTTTGTTCAGCGGCTTCGGATCCAGACATATTCTGAGTTTGCCATTTTTCTTTTCAGACATCACCAAGTTGCTGACCCATGTCGCTGGCTCTCTCATATCCGTGATGATTCCGCCTTTCTTCATTTCATCTAGTGCCTCCTTCAACTTGTGAAGACGACTGTGCGGGATTTTCCTTGGTGGCTGTGCGACAGGGACAACGTCAGCATCGATCTGAATGTGGTAGCTTACACCGAACGTCCCCTGCCCAGTAAATACGTCCTGGTATTGCTCGATGACATTCTCCCGGTTGTCAGCTTTCGAGCTTGATTGGAATATGCGTTGAACGAGGTGTAGAGCTTCGCATTCATTCTGCCCAAGAATCGGGCAAGATACTTTCCGGCTGACATAATAGGTAACTGGTATGCTTTTGTTTTGGTAAGTTGTCTTGATAGTAGCCGTTCCCTCTGGTCGAACCGAGCTCTGATCAAAGCCAGAGAGTATGGTAGTAGTTGTTTCAAGCTGCTGGTCCGGCCGTATGCTCCTGAAGACAGACAATGGCAGTACGGATGCCATTGCACCGGTGTCCAGCTTGAACAACGTTGGTTGTTGATTCAGGATAATGGTCTTCTTCCATCTGTCTGCTGATAGTTCAACCGATTAGGATCGTTCCAAACGACCGCGTCTGAACGGTTTGCTCTTGTACTGCTGTCTGCTCTATTGCTGTGACTGCTGGTGACTTTTGCTGACTTCTGCACACCTTAGCAAAGTGGCCGACCTTGCTACACTTCGTGCATGTTTTACCGTACGCCGGACACTGCCTTGGAGGATGTGTTCCCCCACAGTATCCGCAGGACTTCACTGGAGGTCTGGCTTGTATTTTCTTCTGTGACCTAACAGCGTCGATGTCTCGTTTGTCTGTCTCTGAACCAACCGCTTCGTGGGTCAGATGTCTAATATGTCGTTGAGCAGCAGGAGGACAGCACTTTTTCTAGACTCTCGTCTCGTCGAAGAAGTTCCTTGCGAAGTCCGTCATCCCGCACACCCAGAACGATGCAATCCCGTAAGATGCTGTCCTTCGTGGCTGGAAACTCGCACCTCTCCGCCATTCTACGGAGCTCCATGGTATACGAGTCAATGTCTTCATTTTCTTCCTGTTTCCGGGTGAACAATAAGTATCGTTCCATTGTTGTATTTGCTTTCGGGATGCAGAACTCTTCGAATTTCTCCTTCAGCTTGTCAATGTCCTTCTTGTCCTCCTCTGTGTCAAACTGCACTTTCTGGCTATCTTCTCCTATGACATGGAGAAATACCGCGGCTTGGATGGCGCCATCCTTGTCCTTGAGTCCAGAGGCAATTGAATAAAATTCAAACGCCTGTTTGAACCGCCTTCACGCGTCCGCCTTATTGGGACAGTTGATCAGGAGCTGTTCTGGCGGCTTGAGCTGGTCCATGGTCCTTGAATCTGCAGAATCTGCAGCATCCGACTTCTGACACCATGTAACAACTTGATGAGTCAAGGAATAGATACCCAATGGGAGTAGATAGCATGGTATATATAGGGGGGGGGGGAGCATAGGTGATAACTAACACAATGCAAGTGTAGATGATGTAAGTGTGGGGATAAGGTGTGAATGGAAGTGTGAGGGTAAGCACTAACTCAATGCTGGTGGAATATGCAATTGTGATAACTGTTCAATGATGATGTCAGTGCATGTAGCAAGAACCTATGGCCTCCTTTACGGGCAAACAGAATACAATTGACAGTGGCATAGCGAATGATTAGAACACAACACCAAAAAATGAAAACAATTGTATGTGTGAAAAAAACGCAAAAAAAGAGAAACAAAAAAACAAAAAACAAAAAAACACCAAAACAAAAAAACCAGGAAAATAGAAGGGCACTGTCCTGCTCACCATCGTCTCCAAAACCTCACAGCCGGCCCTCCGAGATTGCCAACTCTCGCAATGCTTTCACAGGACGGTGATATGACGATCGAGCACCGCGGATGCACATGATCGCCGACCGCAACAATGCAAACGCCAGTCGACACCGGACATATGTCATTGTCTGGGCATACAACTTCGTGTCCCCACTCGAAATGAGGCCACACAGGCGCTTGACAAATCTGGAGCACTCTGGCGCACAACAACCGGCCGTGGTGAAAACTAGTGGAGTAAATGTCCCACGGTCCACATTGATGATGCGCTCAGCATACTGCAGCTTCTTCTTCCTCTCATGCTCCGCCAACAGTTTGTCGAGAGGTTTGGTGGCATAGGACGGAGCATCGGGATGAAAAACCCGGACATCCAGGAAAGCATTCTGTGCCCTGGTCCACAGCCCTCGAGCCCGGATATCAGCGCGAGCATCGTTGGCGGTGATAGTTGAGGCTGCCAGAAACACCTCTCCCGAAACCGGAGCAAGCTGAGGCTCGACAGCGACATCCGAGCAAACTTCAGTAAGTAAGTCGGCAAGAATATCGCGAACTTCATTGTGCCGAATGGTGGGGAAACCACCAGTAGGGCAACACATGGCATGGGCCGGACTAAACGGTTGGCCACAAGAGCAGGTAGTAGGCACATCAACCAATGCCCAGTCATACCGCAACGCCACCGCATCCCTGAAATCTCCCTTCGACAGATGATATCCATGTTCTCTGATAGGCAGTGTGTTGAGCCAGCTAGAGACACCTCGGGAGGACAAATGCTCCAAACGACGCGCCATATCCGCCGACGCCGACTGCCGCAGCTGGCGGAACTCAGCCTCACTTGCTGTGCCGCGTTGTCTGGCAAAATCCTTCTTGGCTGTCATAGCATCTTGCCGAACACGTTCCGGTGCTTGCTTGGTCCATGATGTGTTGTTCTGTTGCAGAATTTCACTAACCTGGGCTGCTGTCATTGCTCTGGAAGCGTCGCGCTCTGTCCCGCTCATGCTGTGAAAGTGTGGAATGGCCATTCCCCCGAAACGAGTCGGCAGCCTGAGCATCACCAAATCCTCCGTGGTGAATGCATCTCGACCAGTTGCAGCCGGCAAGAACTCAGTTTCGATTACCTTGTACAACGCTGAATGATACTGCGTCCTCCGGAATGGGAACCGTACGAAAGAGGTAGACCCAACGACCCCGCAGGCCATGAGTCAAAGCTGCATAAGCCGCGTGAGGCTCTGTGCTGGCAAACTTTGCTAATGTGCGTAGCTCCTTGCACCAATCATCAACCCTCTCCCTCACTTGGCTGGCAACATCATCAGGCTCCCCGATGTATGAGCCCAGATATTTAGTGCTGCCGGTGACAATGCGGACACCGGTGCCTTCAAACAGATGTGAAGCCTCCTCCTCCAATCCGGGCTTCACAAGAAGTAGGGTTTTGTCCGAATTGGTGAAATATCCATACAGTGTGTGTAGATCTACCACGTGATACTCGTCGGCCCACGTTAGCCTACGGTTGGGCCTTTCCGAAATCGGCCATTTATTTTGGCCTATTCGGCTTTTAGATCGGCTGAAAAAATCGCCAGAATCGGCTGAAAATTTCTGTAAAAGCTGGAAATTCGGCTCTAAAGTCGCAGCCACCTTTCGCAGATAATGGCTACAGAAATTGTATTTGCATGCTACAGTATTGAGGTACTAAAACATCAATTTTCGGCGAATTCAGTGCGAAAATTGCGTATTCGGCTCAAAGATCAGTGATTTCTTCAAAACCACTATTTTCGGCCAATGTTTCGGCCGGCCGATTTGGGAAATGCCCACGGGCCGTGATGCAGGCGCGCACGAGCGGTCATGCCCAGTTCCCCACGAGTCACGACCCTGCAAAACATGTACATGTACATTGTATATTCGGCGATTTCTTGGTAAAATCTCAGAATTCGGCCAAAAGATCGGCGATTTTCTGAAAAGGCTACTTTTCGGCGAATTATTTCTCGGCCGGCCGATTTGGGAAAGACCTAAGTACTACTGAGTCTATAGTACTGTAGAATCATGCAGACCAGGCTATGAATCATGATGTACTACTAGTACTTTAGCCTATGTGGTAGAGACATGTCTGTGGACCAGGCATTTTTGTAATGCAATGATGTAGCCGGTCAGTTCTAATAACCGTTCGAATAACATACATCGTACATGAGCTACAATGTAGGCATACATGTACATATACTTCGTAACTTAGCTTAGGGCAATGAGCTTACAAGCTGTCTTTGGTTGTTTGTTTATCAATATCAGTTTGACTCGTCTACACTGTAGATGCAGTAGTACATGTATTACTCAGCAGGCAAAGGCACGGTAGTAGTTGCAAGTCACGAAAATCCTATATTTGCAATAATATCCTAGTTAACGCAAGAATATGCTAGTTTCGTGCAACACTTGCTGGATTATGGTAGCGAAATTCTGCATGTACATGTACATGTACATTGTACATGTACATGTACAATGTACATGCAGTTTCCAGAAAGTGCTAACTACGTTCGATTTAATGCCAGCAATATCCGTCGCGGCCTACCCTACGCCTACGGACCGCACACCGAACAAGTTCGGGCATGTTAAAGATTACTTCTTTCCTTCTGTTCTCCTGCCGACTGCATGCCTGTCCAGCGGTCTCTACACTGTAGATGTATATCTACATGTACAGGCATACAGACCGTACGTACACGTACTAATAGTATTAGGAGTATCATAGGTCCTGGCGCCAGGGTGTTTGGCCCGACAGTACAGCCAGTACATTATCAGATACAGTCGGATAGATCAACGGTTTCATAAAGTTCTTTCAAAAATTTTCTATTCGGGTTTTTTTAGTTGAATGGTGAAACATTTGCAGTACTTGTAGCATGTCAGTACTGCAAAGGAGAAGGAAATGAACGCAAGTGAAATGCAACAGGTGATAGAGGGTGCGTGCATGTCCCATGTCCATGGATGTGCTGTTCACGTAGACAATTTTCATATGGGCAACAGCACAGCCCTGCACGCAGCCGCCGCGGCCGCTGCAGCAGCGACTCAGTCCACGAACTTGCACTTGAAGAGAATGTAGAACGTGAGCAGGTTGCCCTGGGAGTCGGCGCTGTCCGGAATCTCCCAGGTCGTCGTGATCCCTAGCGCTGTACTGGTGACCAGCACTGGCACACTCATGGATACATCCCCACACTCCGTACCCATCAGGCTGCCCTAAATGCAGGAACAAAACATCAGTCAAGATTCACAAGGAGACATAATGTTGTACATGGGAAAATCACATCGATTATTGTACATGCCCTGAATACAGGAATAAAATTCAGCCGAGGTTCACGAGGAGATTCGCGGGGAAAATGAACTCGAAGGTCATCGATGTTCCGTGCCCACAAGGCATCAAGCTGAGAACAAATGTCAGTAAAGATTCACGAGATACATGTAAACGGGAAATGAACTCAAAGCTCGTTGCTGCTACGTGCCATTAACCCTTTCAGCCCTGACCGGAAAATCACCTCCCACTGGGCCAAAAATGGCAATTTTTGAAAATGCATATTCTGGTCCAAAATTGATTGGAGATGTTGGGTATGGACATATGCACTGTGAATCCAAAGAAATTTTGTAGGATTTCATTGTACGAGACTCATAATACCATATTTAGATATGCGACTTTCGGCGATTTTTCCTCGAAATTCATTCAATTTAGGCAATTGACGACAAAGATCAGACAAGCAATGGCAAGCAGTGCTATAACTGGTCAGTGTTGACTTCAGAATGGAGAAATGTCATATAACATGCTTGATATGATCCTGGTGTTCTACGGCAACCTAGACTAGAGTACAGCAACTCGTTTTATACGGCGCTTGCATCATATGCGACTTCGCGATCCAGAATGGGTCTTTCTTTTTCTTGGGCGCCTCGTAAAGCTTGAATCCTCCAGCAGCCCTACCTACTTCAAGACAAAACCATATGATGGACAGTGAGGATGCCGAGTAACTGGAGTAGCAACCACAGCAACTGCATCAGCTATAATATAAGCCGGTGCAGTGGCAGCGGTTGCCTCACTGTGCTCGGCACATCCCAGGGTGATTCATCTCTGGCCGCACGCGTATGTACGTACGCGGCACAGGTAAAGTCATATTGATGGAGAATGCAATGCTGCTCATTCTCTGATTTAGACACTCACTGGCAAGACAATCCAGCTATCAAAATAGTCTGAAGCATTCCCTAAACAGCCGAGTGCATACTGCGTACCGGTGTACGTACGCCGCATGAAAATTCAAGAAACAATCGGCTGCGCAATTTCTGATAGTGGTTCAAAATTGCACAATTGTTGACTATTCTGGATTATTCTGGATTCATATTAGATAGCAATCTCCATCCTGTAGGTGCCTGGCTCTGTACTCAACATACAATATTTACATGTATGCACATCTCTATTGTGATCTGCATGCATGTCTGACCAGTACACTTGACTTCAAATTCAAATATTTTCAAAAATCTGACCTTCAAATTTGATCGCAGTTTACTTGAGGAACTTCAGCAAACGGGCTCACGACAGATAGCTCCTGCTCAGAACACCATGCCTAGGTGTCAGAGACTTCAGCATCGCTTTCCAAATCTCTTTGGTCTCCAGCATCCCCTGCGTCCGAGTCAGCTGCGATCTTTTTGAATAGCAGCAAATTCGTAATCCTCAGAAAACGACTCCGACACAATTTCGCTGTCTCCAGAATCATCCTCAGAGTCATTACCAGCCTCACACTGCTTCACAGGACTCCTTCCATCGACACAGAGTAGTTGAGCTACTTACCTTGCCGAGAAACAGCAGGGCAAGATGACGAAAACGAACTTTGAGCAAAACAATTTATTTGAACGATATGCCAAAAATACGCACTCCAAACTCGATGCTCGCGGCTGTTCTGCTGTGCAGACTGGCCACATACGCTGCGTACACGTCGATCAGGGTCTTCAGCCCACTGAGGAACAGTTCCAGGCCCCACTGATGTCGAGGCATCAGTACAAACGCGACGTACACTGAGGACGTATATATACGTCGTCAGTGGGGCAGGTGCACACCTCATGACGTATATATACGTCGACAGTGGTGAAAGGGTTAAACTACCCTAAATACAGGAACGGATCCAGTCTAGATTCACAAGGAGAGCGGAGAAAAGCATGTTGCAGATGAAATTTGGTGTGGGTAATATGAAGCCGTACAGTATGTTGAGGAAGACAGTGTGCCGCAGTGTGTATCTGAAAGTACAGGTGGAGTGTGATGGAGAGGGCGTGGAGTACCAACTTTTTCGGACGTCTACAGATGTTGACCGTGTTATTCTCCAGTAGTGCTCCAACCAGGAGGTATTTCAGTTACTCAGCTCAGCTGCCTATAGAAACTTATTTGGCGAGTGCCTGTCAGCTCATTCTATAAGACCCTGGACAGAGGAACTGACCCGGAAAGGAGGTACCAAGGGACACATCAATCCAAAACTTTCAGAGAGTGAACATAGGTGTGTTTTCATTTTTGAATCAAAAAACTTAAAATCATTTATGAAAATTTTGACATGAACTCACTACAGCAGAGCATAACACCGCGCCGCCGACATCCAGAGGATCCTTGTACGAGAGTGTCACAGAGACATTCCTGGTGCCATTGACATTTGCTGCAGCGGACACAGAGGGACAAGTGCAGGTAAGCAGCTTCTTTGGGCTCGTTTATCGATAAAGCAATATTGCATATGCATGCACATTCATGGACATAGACACAGGTGCGCAGACTAAATCACACAAACTTATGGGCTTGGACAAAGCTCTGAATAAAACAAAGGATGCCGACATACATGTAATACCATGCATGAAATAGAATACAGTCAACTTCGCTTATAACGACACTCGGCGGGGCATCAGAAAAGTGTCCTTGTCCTTATACCAGAAGTCTCATTATATGTATTACAGTCGGAAGGGACTTTGCTCTGGGCATGGAAATTCTGTCGTTATTTGCGAATTGTATTTAGACCCGCAGTCGTTATTAGCAAAATTGACTGTATTCAAAGAATAAATCAAAAACGCAAAAACGCCTTTCTCCGATGGTAGTGATTTACATCGAATAGTGATTGAAACAAATCAATGACGTATAGACCCATTGCGCATTGCCAAAACGGATTGTATGAGTAATGCTTGCGAATACGCTGGGGCAAGACTTTCAATAAACTAAGTACCTAGGACTTACGAGTCAAGAAGATGGTGGGTTCGGGTAGCACTGTCTCCTTGAGAGCTTCAGTTAAACCCTTGCTAAGTGGTAGTTCACCGAGGCAGGGTACGCTGATCTTCCTCAGAGTATCCACGCTCTCCTTGGTGGTGCCGTTTGCGAACTCCGTTACGTTTGCCTGGGGAAAAGTAATTGTGGGCAGAGAATGAGAGAGTGAGTATGAGTATGAGTGTGTGTGTGTGTGCGCGCACGCATGTGTGTTCCACTGCGGCTGAGATTTTCGCTGTCGCCAGGACCTCGCTTGCCAGGACCTCGCTTGCCACTCTACTCCCCCGTGATTGAAACACTGTCGGTCCTTCCAGGACCTGCCATCATGTGCGAATGGGCATTATTGCATTGTATTGTGTGCTGGGAGCAACTCGATCGACCAGAGGTCTCGGCGTCAGCGTTGCAATTAGGCATTGAAAATGCCTAAAATGGGGGGGGGGGGGTTATTCCAGCTAAGATTCTGATTCCGTGCTCTTGTCACCGAAAGCTCTGAAAAGAGTCGCATAACTTGCAGAAAGGTTTAGATGCAAAACCGCTTACACCAGATTTTATTCTGTTTGAATTCGCTAATCCAAACGAGCACAAATGCTCAATGACAAGGCAGCGAATACGTTATTGTACTCGAGTGCCGGGACTGGATTTCATTGAGCAGCACTGCGGTTCACATGTTATTTCGTTATACTGATACTAGTACATGTGCACAAAGTCACTCACTGAGAGAAGCCCTCCGAACACGTCCTCATCCGATCCTCCCTGGTGATGGCCGTGGTCATGCCCGTGGTCATGCCCATGGTCGTGGCCATGGTGACGGTGACCATGGTAATCATGGCCGCCGCCACGGTGCCTGTGGGCTGCATTGCTCAATGACTGGATCGGCAGAAAAACAGGACGACAAAATAACGGGAACAGTTATTTGTACATTGCAACCCGATCGACAAGGAAAGTGAGATTCTGAAAGACGCACACATACACGCAGCACACCCTGCCTGGCATCACGAGTTGAGTAGCATGCGGCCCCGAGACTGAAAGAGTGCGCTTGATGTTCATGCTCACCTTACAATAATACTGCACGAATTGTTGTGTACGAAGAAAGCCCCCTACAGAAAGGTCAAATGACCCATTGCACAATGATGTAATTTCAGGGCTCACAGCAACCATGCCAAAACCTCGATTACGTGGGAGGACATCTTGGATCTGATCACCATAGAAACGAACTCGCGTGACCGCTAAGCGCAGGCGTAGAACGCAGTCGCGCAAGGAGATTTTGACTTGCTTGGGCTTAGTTGCTGTGACAAGGACTGAGTCGTGAATGGTGAAGGAGATGACCGGAGACTGTCTCACTATCTCTATTTCATTTCGGTAGTTCTTGTTTCCTTCCAAGTGGATTATTTCGCGAGCAGTGTTGGCCTTGTCGGCCGAAGGCTTCATTCAGACTGTCCGCACACGGAGTCCTGCGAAAAGTAGCCCCGAGCAGAATCCTGCAGTCGTTGACGAAAGAGTTCAACATCTACAGCCGGGCAGCTACGCCGCTGATGCACAGGCGCGGGTGACGGGAGAGGGAAAGGACTAGCATTCCTTGACGGCATGGAGCAATGACTCACGTCGTGTTCTAGTTTTAGTTTCTCCGCCGTGAAGTCCTGTTGTGTAAACGTAAATATACGGCTGGTCTGCGAAGAGCCGTGTAGCGCAGTGGTGACGATGTGGAGTTGTGAATTATTTGATTCGCCACTCCGTTTCGTTGCAAGAGAACAAGTCCAATGGCTTCGCCGTTGTGCTGGCCATGTATTTCTTCGGTCTGCCATAGCCTTGATAACTCCTAGAGGACACAGCGATGAAGCGCCAGGCGAGTAGCAAAACCATTTCAAAAAATTGCTTTGCTGCTAGTGTTGTTTCCGCATTCACAACAAGTGCAGCGCGCGCGGTTCTTCCTGGCGGCTGCACTGCAGATAGGGTTGCCTTTGAAATGTTCGTTTGTACCCGTCTCTGGCCCGATTTTGATGGCCAATAGCTTAAAATTTTCAGTAGGAAAATTAGAAGAATTTCTCCGAGCGACTTTTCAATTTTAGTACAATAATCCAAATCAGAATTACGCCTGCACCAACTGATACTTTGGCTCCATATATATGCCAAACCGTATCGATTAAAACAAAAAACTCTCGGACAAATCCTTACAATGGGTATTGAGAGTATGTTCCTAGAGTTTCAGAGGCCTAGGGAAAAGCATTGGTACAAATGAACATTTTGAATGCACCCCACTTTCAAGTTTTCAGAGATATCTGCCTGATCGCATGTACACGATTCTGGCATGCTGGCTGGCTCGTGTGACAGCGGCCTGTCCAAAATGGCGCCCACGCTTTTGTGTGATGCTGTGAGCCCTGAATTTATACCATGAACACCCCAGACAGCAGCCACCTGCGCATGGTTGTCTGGGGTGTTGAACAGTGCATTCCTGATCCCAGCGTACTCACAAGCATTACTCATATTATTCCATATTTTGCAATGCGCAATGGGTCAATTGTGTACGGATCCTGACAGGGACACGATACTTATGTTATGACCGTGTGGTATGTGACCCATGACTGAAGGAGGGCACTTGGTCATGCTTCTCGTAGATCTACTGTATGGTTTGTTGTTGTAAACGAAAACATCTCGCTACAAAGGGTCAACTGTGTATGGATTCAGACAGGGACATGGAGAATGGTTCTTTATAATTATTATCGTATCGAGAAATCCTTTACACGCGAGAGAAGTAGAGTCGACTGCAGTGGCTTTCCGGAACAGCCCTGATGGCGTGCCGCGGCATTTCGCAAGCACAGCGAACAATGCCACCTTACAATAATTCCTTTTGATCACCGTGCACTGTCCGTAGTCTACGCCTCACCTTTATACGTGCCAGGATGTTCTCGAGACGCGTCTGAACGCTGAGAGAGAAGCTTGCGTCCGAGCGAGGTACGGCCGCGGCCACGAGGAGTAGAACGGTGAGAAAGCGAATGGACATCTCCATCTTGGCCCGGAAGTATCTCGTGTGACCTAAAGGCAATTCAACGAAGACAAAATGTAGCAAATACATGTACTGCCAAATAGCTTCTGTCATGAAGAGTATGTTATCGTACTGCCACTTGCAAACTTGCCGGTAAAACAAACACCTTCCCTGCGTCGGCGAGCAAGTACGATAGCACGCCAATGAAAGATGGCCAAACAAGAAGGGCAACTGATAGACTCGACAACAAGGTGGATGCTCCTAACAACGACTTTCACGCGCCTCTCGCCGACTCAGACACTCGAGTCAGTCCGTAAGCCCAGCAACCACTACGCTAGTGAAGGCAAGAAACATCAGCACTATTACCTAAAGCATTGGGACGTAAACGAAAAGGTAGCGTCCAAATTACCCTCCACTGGAATGGAAACTTACCCAAGAAGACGGAGTGAGGCGAAGCGGAAGAATTCCTGTTCCGGGGTCAGAAACTCTCTTGGAAGTCGGCAAAGTCTTCAATCGTTCAGCAGGGAAAATTCTGCCTTCGGTAGATCTACACGACTACTGACGATCGTTAACGTTGTGCGTAGATAAGCGGAAATTTGGCGGGTCCAGAGTTGTTCGAAGCGACACATGCAACAACGGTAAACCGGGACGTGATAACTAACTACGTAACCTCGTTACTTGACGGGAGAGGACCGCCATGCCAAGCCTCACTTTGAGGTGAGGCGTGAAGAGAGAACGCAGCACTGTCGACATGTCACAATCAGCACATGTGCACAGCGCACACGTGATCTCACCCTTTTTATCCGAAATCGACACCAAAAAAAGGTAGAGAAGATGTGCCTTGAGGCTTGACCATCACCAAGATAATTGCATTGCATGCTCGTCGTTTGTCACAGGTTTCGACCAGGGAGTTTCCACTGGTATCATGGTTACCGGTATAATAATTGCGGCATGTGGTTTGCAAGGTCTGAATCTATCAGCCCCGCACTGGCTCAGCCCCACATTGCGCAGCACCTATCATTTTTCCACCCGTTTCCTACTTGCTCTGTTCGCTCAACAGAACCGTAGATACTCTTAGTTCTTGTCAGGGAGTAGATCTACGACTCCCTGGTTCTTGCGCTGGATATTATTAATTTTGAAATCCCGAGTCCACACTGGGACCAATGAAGGCTGAGCATCACTTCTTTTGGAGGACAATTGACCCCCTAACGCTCACGCCCGCCTGTTGACCGCCATCCTACCGTAGTAAGATCTCCACCTGACTGTTGCTCGCTAGCAGCTGCCTCTTTGTAGTCCTAGCGCCTCAGCCCGCGCAAGCTTTCTTCCAATATCTGACGCTACCAGAATTAGCGCCCGCCCACCTGCACCTACGTAGTGCTGCATAATCATTGTAGATTTGTTTATACACTGTACCTGGGCCTGGGGCCCCATTCTAATGTTTTTATGTAGATGTATAGGATATTGCACGGTTCCGCGGAGATTATTTTTCGAGTCCCCGAGGCTCGCATCGCCGCGGGGATTACGAAAATACTCCTCGCGGACACTTTGCAGTATCCTATCAGTATAGACGTACAGGTTACGACACGACGAGCAAGTGAAACGACGTCGATACGATCGGAGAGTCCGAGAAGTGAAGCGGTCCTGGGCCACTTTTCTCCCCTTTGTTCTCTCTTCCACCGGAGGATGCGGCAAGGGTGCTGCTGCAGTGGTGAGCCGGATTGCACTAGCCATTGGCGGACTATGCTCGGCCAATCGTCAAATTATGCTTTTGATTATGCCACAATTATGCCAACAAATATGCTGAATTACATGTATGCTCGGTTCCGCTATGTATTCACGCTGTACATAGAGAATAGGGAGGTTTAGTTCCCACGTAACGGAAACGCGTACGTGGGTGCTCCACGTAAAGTGGATGAAGGGCATCCACGTTGCAATGTTGTGTTTAGTCACACGGAACAAACAAAAGCATGAAGCGAAAGGCCCAAACCTGGTCAAAGACGAAGCTACCCGGGCCTAAGGGGCCGTTTACATGAGAACAATAAGCCCGGGCTTATTCAACCCTAGGCTTACGATAAGCCCGCCTTGATCTGTCACCCAGTCATTTTAGAGCGGGCGTTTACATGGTCAGGCGGGCTTATTCAGCTCGCCCCGAGCTGAACTAGCCCTACCCTTGACCCCCGAGCTTATCCAACCCCCAGGGCTTATTTTGTCACGTAAGGCCGATTCCACACTACACCAAATCCTGCCTAAAAAGCCATTTTTCAGGCACTTTTCAGGCAAGTTGCCATGGCGATCACTTTGAGAAACGCGCGAAAGTGAAAAGTGCTTGTTGTCTACAAAGCAACACCAGCACCCTCTTTCAAGGCAACTTTTTACCTTTTCAGGACACTTTCTGACTTTTCTTCAGCCTTTCGATTTTTTTCCGAATGTGTTCCCTGTCGTACATGTATGTGTTTCAGTTGTGGTGAGTTGTGAGCTGTCAACAATGCCTAGGGTCATGTTGAGCCAGGAGCTTGAGGGCAAGCTGATCGAGCTTTGGAGCGGATATTTGAGGCGACCTCCGGCCGGTACAGTTCGCAGGAGCTACGCCGGAGGAGATCGCCATCAAGCTGAATTTGTTTGCTGAACAGCTCCGGGAGGAGGCAATATACTGCGTCGATCGTCCATTCCAAAATCGACAACATGAAAACGAAGGCGAAAGGACTGTACGAGACATACACAACGAAAACTGCCACCGGAATGCCTGTTGGCGAGGTTGACAAATATTCGACCTATGATCTGGAATCCGCCTACACAGCGCGCGCTAGCGTGGTCAAATATCAAGATTGGGCACGCGAAAATGGGTGATATTCGAGGATTTGGCCCAACAAAGAGCCTCTCCACTACCGCCGTTGCTAGATCAAGCACAGGAAAGCCTCACAGTCTAACCTTCAAAGCAAAGTCCCGTGATTGACACTTGTAGGTGTGAATGCAGCTTCACTTTATAAGCCACTTTATGCCTTCAAGGCAAAGCCACTTTCGGCGTAGTGTGGAATCGGCCTAAACGGTCAAGAAGGGCTTATAAGCGAGTTTTTCCGTATTTTTCGATTTGCCTCGTGAACCTGAGAGAATGTGGCCGTGGACAGTGCGTCTCTTTTATTAATTTCTTGGTATGTTTTCTTCTAGTTTTTGTCCAGTGGAAGGTCCTAGCCCATCCTTAACCTTCTCGAAAAATAAGTGACAATTGGAAAGGCAGTAGAAACCTGAGCCGGCATTTCTTGATCCAAATTTCATCAGACACGAACATTTACCACTGCGTTCATGTGCGATTTGAAAAATAAAATGCGCGCAGAACTCGCAGTCACTCACCTGAACTCAGGCCCGTACAACCGTCATGTAAACGGTTGAAAAATAAGCCCGAGGCGAATAAGCCCGGGCTTATTTTCCTCATGTAAACGGCCCCTAAGAAGCTCATCCAATATTTTGATTTCGTGCTCCGGAAATTTCTTCAGCTGAGCACCCTCACAGCTCGCAAAATGCTCTCCATTCTGATTTTCACCCACGTTCTGGCGGAACGTGGGTGAGCCTCCATACACGGTATGTCGTGAATCAGAAAACGTCTGTACGTGGGTCACTGAGTATCACGTGGTACACACACGTAAAGTACCCACGGATTACGTGGGACTAAACCTCCCTAATGGAGAAACCACGCGTACGTATACACGCGGCCCCAGGCCAGGTAGCCCTTTCCCAAAGGTGCTCGCTCTTTTTTCGCCCTTTTTCGCCCTTTTTGGAAAAGCCCGTTTCTGTCGCCCTTTATTGCGGTTTTTGGTGAATATCGCCCTTTTTGAGCTTTTTTACCTGAAAAAGTGCTAAAAATAAATTTAATCTGTTTGCTCATGCATGCTATCACAGTTTCCGAGTGCTCGATGGGCCTTGCAAGCTTGCTAGCTTGGCACGCCGCTTTTTTGGGGGGAATTTTTTTGTTTGTTGGCGAAGCAGCAGCTCTCACCAAAACTTTCTGTCAGCGACGCGGTGGCGGAGCTGATGTTGTGTCAGGACCGATCGCGGATCGGAGAATACAACGTCGTCACCAATACAAGCGCTGCAGCCTGTCATTTGGCTGCTTCTGTCGTTCTGACTCTGAGATCGACGTCTGGACCATTGGCATTGTGGACTGCTATTATTAGGCCATTTAGGGTCGCGTGTGTACATGCGCATGCATAGCCTATAAATGTCCTTGTGTATAATTAGCCTAGTCATGTACGTACATTTGCATGCACAATCAAGAAAAAACATGTTGCGGTCGGGTGAAAAAAGACGGTCGGTCGAGTGACCCGAAACAACGAATTGTCACTAGTAGTATTACGGAAATAATTCTGGGTGGCATAAATTATTTAGGCGCGTGCCCTTTGTGGACGGATTTGGACTCATGCCTTTTCAACAGGCTGGCTATGGCTGGCCAGTGATGTCAATGATGAGTCATGAATTCTCTCATGAAGTCATGATTCGGGTTTACTATTTCAGCCGTCAGTCGTCATCTTCACGCGCTAGCTAGCTATCGCTTCGACGCTCTGTCGATCGATCACGCAGTCAGGGCGCATAATGTTGCTTTTATCTAATTCTTGCAAGACGCAGTCTACGATTCCAAAATACAACAACGGACGCGGACACGTACAACCATTCTTCGCGAGCTGAGCGGCAGCTGGGGTGGCCGGCTCTTGCTAGCCAGGAGAATGAAAATGATTACCTGATCAGCAAGCAAGTACATGTACAATCATGTAGATCTAGAAGCCTTGCTCTTCTGATGATGTCGACGAATCCTGCAGCACTATTAATTTTATTCGTATGAGCAGTGGAATCGTTCATTAGAACCTAAGCAGTGAATGTTTCACCAGAGTTAGCTGAAAGCTAGTCGGAGTTGGACTGTCCCGACCGGTACACCCGGACTGACAATGGTGCGCCTACTGGAGGACCTTTGCCTGCGATGCATCGCCAGGAACATGGCGAAGTTGCCCGCCTCGAACCTGCAGTGGCTGACCGTTACCCAGAAGGAGGTGCTGCTGGAGCGTATGGCATCGCACCAGCTACTCACAAGCGCCGTTTTACCGCTGGCTACCGTGCACCTGCTTGATTCCCACCTTCGCACAGTTGTACTTGATCGTTGCTCGCAGGTAAGTCGGTGCCTTGCAAATCACACCCTGGCCTGGACCCATGGAAGCAACAGTTGATTTATGGGGTCAGCACGCACCTCAGATGCCCCTCTGTTTAGGCCTCATTACGCGTGCCCTTTTTTGCGACGCCTTATACTACTGTCGTGGACATGGAAATCAGGTCGCACGTCTAGCGGCCCCAGGGCGCTGGCCATGCAGCCATGAGCACGCATACCGTCCACACATATCATCTATGCGCTGCCGCGTGCTGGTCGCATTGGATCAACATGTGCACTGCCTGCAAACGTTCTGTACGCGCTGAGGGCGCCGGCCCCGGTCAATCAACTGGATGTCCATGTCCACGATAGTAGTACACTCGTACCTCGCTTATCCGGGCGATCCGGGACCGGGCACTGCCCGTAATTTAGAAATGTCCGCAATTCCGAATCACTTACATGCAGTAGATATGGCACGTGACGCCGCTACTTCCACACAAAGTGACAAAAGAGTAGTAATATTTCCACTAAAACTCGCCCAGACTTTCCCCAAGGACGCCCAGTAGAGGGTAATGGCCGTTACTAAGACTTTGGGGTCCGGATAACCGAGGTATCAGCTGGGTGCACATGAAAACACAGTACAGTCAGACGTCGCCGCTTATCCGGTCCTCGTTTATCCGGTCCTCGCTTATCCGGTCCTCGTTTATCCGGATCCCTCGCCATCCGGAAGAAAATCGCAGGGTACAGATTTACAGCATATGCCATGCACACATACACATACAGTATGTGTGTCCGATTATCCGGTTCCCTCGCCTATCCGGATTTTGTTCTGGAAAACGAGTGTGTGCGGTTGGTTATGCGAGGTCTGACTGTATAGACGTTACGTTTTGCAAAGGAAGCCATAATGAAGGGTCAGCAGAACTCCGCAACCGCTCTTTATGGGTACTAGCGGAGCCGCTTACGGGGCGCTGTGCACACGTATACAGAGTGAGGGGCCAGAGCATCGCTGTTCTGCGACTTTGCCAAAGCATGCCAACTGATGATGTAATTGCATGCCAACTGATGATGTAATTGCATGCCAACTGATGATGTAATTGCATGCCAACTGATGATGTAATCGCATAATCCCTATGATGATTATGGCACGCTTTGTGGGCGTAGACGCCGAGACCTTTTATGGCCAGCAGAGCAGCCTGGCGCCGCCATCACTTCTCGCACATATTCGAGAATACAGCGGACTTTCGTATAAAATAAAATGTAATAAAAAATACACCCCATATAATTATAGTTGCCTGATGATCGTAGTAATACGTGAAACTCACAGTTGTGACAAAGCTTCCAATCTCTCTTGTGTAGTAAAAAATACACGTACTCAGCATCTCGAATCCGTGATACTATAATAGTCACTATACAGACACACAGTCATTGATTTACATGTACACTGTTTCACGGTTCTTTCACTGTATCTTTTGTACAGTATCTCTCTGTTTCCGAACTCATTTTGCACATTTTCTCTTTTCCCAACTCCAATGTTCATTGTATACATACACAAATAGGATATGTAAAGCCGTGGCCAATATTGATATTTCTGACTGTTTTGAACTGGCTATAGACAAGAAAAGATGGCTAATGCTTGTGGAAAAATGTGCTGCGCTTGCGTAGTTGTTCTTACTGCGATACGTTCTAACAATAATGAGATGCCTTTTGTTGGCTCTTCTGCCTGGATTTCGTTGACAGAAGCCCATGGATCCTTCCATGAGTGACATGCGAACTGTAACTATTATTATATAAATAGGAGATCCCCCCCCCCCCTGATAGGCATCAGCCTTTGGGTAATCCTGAAATAAAGATTATTATTATATAATACAGGCTTTGATCAAAATGCCAGGTCTGCACAGTGTGTGATGGGTATGAAATGCACATGAAGTTCACCAATATTGTCTGTGTGTGTGCACGCGCGCACGTGTGTCTGTGTGTGCGTATGTGTACGCTCCTTGCGCAGATCACCGATGACGTCTTGGCTGCTCTGGGCTGCAAAGCGCGCAACCTGGTGAAGATACGCGTTACGTCTTGTCCTAATGTGTCGGGTATGGCATGATCTAGTATAATTTCGATTCAGATTAGGGCTAGGTGCTGAGTTTGGGGTGCGTGACAGATTGCCGTCCAAAGACGGAGGCGTAGTACAGCCACATTACTCGCATGAGGCAAATGGTGTAGCAGGCGCGTAGCACCGCCGTCAGAGGTAGACCGGCAGGAGAGGGGGGGGGGGGGGGGGGGGGAGGTCAGGGGTGTCGCCCGTGACAATTCTGAAATTACCCTACCCGCCGAGAAGCCGTTCTGTGCACGGAGCATTGCCCACGTGGTAACTATAAATGCAGTTGTGCTGTGCCCATTCGACTGGATTTCATCAACACACCGGTGGGGTGGATTTGAGCTAATCGCTCCGAACATGATGGCATGGAACTAAAACTTATAAAAAGGAGCCTTTCTACTGCTATCAACCTTTCTAGCTGGTGTGATTCTCCGAACGCCTGGTCGAAAGCTCTCCTTTCATCTTGTGGGTAATGGGTCACGCAATACGGGAATGAACAAGTGAATGCTTGCTCTGCTTGAGGGTGGGTGATTGCTCGACAAAGAAATGACCCTGAACATAGAGCACACTGATAATGTTTACCCTATTTTGCATTTAAAAAATATGTTCAGAGTAGAGAGTGGGACACTTGAAGAACACACCCAAAGCGCAAAGGAGAATACACTGTCCAAGAACACTAAAACCTTTTAGTTCAAGCTCCATCGCATACGCTCTCTGGCGCACTACACCATCGCACTACAGCATCGCACTACAGCGTCGCCCACGAATCAATCATGAACAGGTCGAAAGCTGCTGCTTTTCTAGTATCGTGTATGCCCTTAACTCGTTCATGCGGGCGGTGCCCGTAACTTTGAAACATGTCTAACTCTGGATCTCATAAGGTTTGACCAGGATTCACGGGAGGTCCAGCGGAAGAGATACGACGCATGGCGTCGCTAACATTATTTCCACAGAAAGTGCCGAGGGAGTAGAAATTTCTCCACTTACCTCACCCAAAGGGAGCTCGATACTAGTAGAGCAAAGTGCCTGCATGATTGTATAACCTCGTTGTCTTAAGGATTCCCCATGTACAGGTGTTATTGTATTGGGACCCAAAGGCTGAGAGCAAGAGTAGGATTCTGCAAGCAAGTCTAGTCTGGATGTGCTTGCTCACAGCTGCAGTGCTAAAAGATGATGTGAATGGGACACATTGTGTACTTCAAGTACATGTACCTATAAACGTGTGTGTGTGTGTGTCGGAAGGCTACCCTCTTGCCAAAGCATTTTGGAAGTTGGACTAGTTTCAGCTCCACTATCCAGTGTGTCGTTACTATATAGCTTTCATGGCTGAGGTTGTTGGTACGTCTGTTGGCCCTGGGTTCCCAGTACCCAGTTGCCGAGGCTGGTTGGTAAAATAACTCCAATTTCACTTCAAGGTGCCAGTGCATCTAGTGTCTGCTTTTATCAAAGCAGCGTGCTGTCTATACTGGTTACCTCAGCAAGTGTAGGGTGTGCATAGGTAACTGTCTTGGCCGTCCTATTCCGATGTACTCCGTGTGGTATAGACCAGGTGTACAATGGGGGGTCGATTCACATGGCTTCGCCAGTTGTGTGGATTAGACAGTTATCTGGCGCTTGTCTTGATCTGTTTCAATCAGAATCAGATCCGCTATCGTTGCTATAAAGAGAAAATCTGTGGGTGCACATCCGGTGCATTTGCAGATTTGCGTGCTACTCTTGCGACGGGCGTATACATGGTACATGGTACATGGTGTGTATGTGTATGTGTGTGTATGTGTGTGTATGTGTGTGTATGTGTGTGTGTGTGTGTGTGTGTGTGTGTGTGTGTGTGTGTGTGTGTGTGTGTGTGCCCTTGTGTTTCTGCGGGTGCGTGTTTCACATGTTTTAGATGCTGGCCTTAAAGGCCTTCTGATGCACCAGCAAAGTCTTGCCGACCTGACACTGAAGGGAATGTCGCAACTTGTCAGAGGTACATTTCACTATTTCTCTGTCTGTCTCTGCCTCTGTCTCTCTGTGTCTTTCTCTGGGTCTTTCTGTCTCTCGCTGTCTCTGTCTCGGTCTCTCTCTCTCTCCCTCTCTCTCTCTCTTTCACTCTCCCTACCTCCGTGTCTCTCTTATTTTTTCACTAAACTAAACTTCAATGGCAATGCAGCGGATGCCACTTACAATCGAGTGTGACACCCTACTCATGTGAACATGCTGAAACGATATGGCTCAAGCTGGAAAATTGGGTTGCGACTTATAAATCGCTGAAATGCAATCACGTTCTGGGCCAAGTGCAATGTTGTTGTTGTGTGCGTCTGTTGCTGCAGGTACATTCCTGTCGGCCATCAACTGCCCAGAAACACTGACGTCCGTGTCGCTAAAGAACAGCAGGTTCATCTTTGCGTCTTTGGTGCCGTTGCTGGTGGAGAGGAACAGACGCATTGCCGTACTGGATGTGCAGAACATTCACAACCTGGACGACGCAACGATCGCCATTATTGCACAAGCACTCGGCAAAGACCTGGTACGTTGTGCGCGATGTCCGGTTTCTCTCTCTCATTTAAAATAATAACGTTCCTTTGCTGTTTGCGTTATGCAGAGCTCACTGACTTGTCAGTTTGAGTACTCTGGCAAGGTACGTTCGGGCCTGGCTTAAATCTGGCTTTGGAAATTTTATTTTTCATTGCTATCAGGTTCGGCCTCATTTTCTCTGTGCTGCACTGATGAGTCCACAAAGGACGAAACAGTTCTGTCCGCAGATTGAGTAAGATACGAATATAAATATTCTCAGCTGGGTTCACTTACAGGGCGGGTCGAGAACCACCTTCTCGATTTACACTTTAATGCCCGGCCTGCACACTCCTTTTGGCCAGACAGGCGCGTAGCACTTCCGTTTAAGGTGGTCCGGCCGAAGGGGGGGGTCTCCCGTGGAATTTTTTTAAATTGGGACGCAAAATCCTGCATTCTGGGCACTTTTGGCATTGTGTTGAAAAAAAAAGTGGTCCGGCCCAAGCCGGACCGGCTGCTACGCCCCTGCCAAAGCATGTGTGTACCGTCTAGGAGAATGTGCGATAAGTCCTGCAGCTCACTTCCAGAGTTCGTACTTTTCAGTTAGGGTACTCATGCGGGATGATGTCTTGCGGTTCCAGGTCCAATGCCTGCGCAGCCACAAGGCAACGGTCCAGGAGGAAAGTGCTGCGTGTGTGTCATAGGCAGACGGAAGTCAGGAAAACACTGCGGTTTGGACTTCTCCTGTGCTTTGCTGTTGGTTTTTGTAATGCTCATTTGCCTCCCGTGTGTCTTCTTCGAACTGCTCAGATCTCGCTCAATGTCTCCAAAGCGGCAAAGATCAGCAGGCCATCGCTCCATGCACTGAGCACTCACTGTCCGAATTTAGAGCGGTAAGATGCTAGTCTTATCGTGACCGCGGCAGAAAACTGTGAACAGTGTGCTGATGCTGCTGTTGTTCTTGGTCAGTGGTTGTGCTGCTGGTGTTGTTGCTGCTGCTGCTGCGGGTGGTAGAGGTCATCGTGGTGGTGGTGCTGGTGGTGCTGGTGGTGGTGGTGTTGGTGCTGGTGGTGTTAGTGGTGCTGCTGCGGGTGGTGCCGCTGATGCTGCTGTTGTTCTTGGTCTGTGGTTGTGCTGCTGGTGTTGTTGCTGCTGCTGCTGCTGCTGCTGCTGCTGCGGGTGGTGGTGGTGGTGGTGGTGCTGTTGTTATAATTATAGCTCTACTCTCACGTGGGCCATTGGCCAACAAGAGATAGAAACTTGTGGGCGAAGTAACTACGACGAAAATTGTTGCTGCTGGTTTTGTTGTTGTTTCTTTTAAAATTTGATTTTGGTCCACGTTGTCAAACCAACGGAATTCTCTTCTCCTCGTCGAATGTAATGGGCCTTGCATGTTACTATAACAACGGTCCGTTGCTGTTGTCGTGGTGACGGTGATGCTTTGTGACGCCGGAATACACTGCCGACTGTCTTTGTGCAAAGGCATGTACTGTCCTCCCTCTGGCCTACTTAGCACGCACCGTGAAAAATGTAATATACCGTAGCCACAAACACAGCATCCACGGGTGGATACATTTTGATAGTCAAAGGCGGAAAGCGGAGATTCAGAACAACAAGATCCCAAGAAAGAATGTTCACGCATGGGGAAAACGAATGATGATGTCATACAAAATACACACAATCATCATGATGTCATACATAATGACCATGATGTCATACATGATAGTGATGATGTCATGCAGAAAAAGGCATGTTAGTGCTAATGTGGTGTTTGCTGTTCCATCCTCTGCTTGTGTGTTGCCTGTAGTTTGGTGTTGAATAGTGTGAACAGCTACAATGGTGAGGGCCTGAATGAAGTAAGTACACGATTGTAATCGTATTTACAGTCAAACCTCTTTTAGGACGAACATCAAGGGACCGATGATATTTGTTCGCAATAACGGGAGTTCTTCTTATCCGTATGTTATACCCAATGAATACACAGTGATTTATCCAATGGAGTTACGAATACTAGTTCTTCGTAAGCAAACATTTGTCTTATCAGTGTTCTTCCTAACCAGCTTTTACTGTAGTTCATTTATGTTGTCTATGTCACCTTCTGCGCTTTTCATGGGGAGAGAGAGTTGAGGGGTGGCGTGGTGTGGGAGAGAGGGGGAGGAGGTGGAGGGAGGGGAAGTGTTTTTGTCATGGTACAGAATTATAATATTTGGTTCAAGACGTGCAGTCTGTATATGTGCCCTTGTGTGTGTGTGTGTGTGTGTGTGTGTGTGTGTGTTTTGTGCGTGCAATGTCATGTTCCTTGTTTGTTCACATTTGTGCATGTCTGTTTGTTCACGTTAATGTGTGTATGCGTACATGCATGTGTGGGTGCATTTGCGTGTGCACGCATGCATGTGTGTACGAATGCGTACCCGCTGCGTATATGTGTAACTACAGGTAATCAAATGCTGTAACATTTCGGTGCTGGACATGGCTTTCTGCTTCTTCCTGTCTGGATCGGCTGTTGGTGAGATCTTCCAGGACCAAGAGAGGAGAGCCACATTGCAACGTCTGCACAACTGCAGCACTGTTCCTGACCACTATTTGATGCAAGGAGTCAACTCGTCCGCGCTCACACAGCTTGAGCATCTGGACTTGAGCGGATCGCCGATCGCCGACGCCGCCGTTCAGTTCGTACGTCGTGATAAGCATGTCGACCCCTGCACTCGATGAGTACCTGTTTTCACTGTACTGTGCGGGGGAAACCCGGATGCAGCGAATGGGATTTTCTATCTTCGACCACTTGGTGGTGGGTCTGATCTACTCGCCTCCCACCACTTTAGGCGCTGTATGTGCACCTTTTGTTCTTTGCAAGGTGGTGGCGTTCCTATGGATGCAGAAGGCTTAGTCTAATAGGCTATTCAGACTACGACCAACTGTGACCACGTTTCCATGGCTCAGACGTGTTTGATCGGCGATTGTACATAACATTTTGAAACACGCCTGCATCACCATGGAAACTCAAGTTCAGACGTGATTTTGACCGTAGTCTGAATCGCCTATAACTGAGTATAAAGTGAACCATGAAATGTGTGGGCACTTTTTTTTTTTTTGTTTATTTAGAGTCGAAGAACAAACAGGCAAATTTGCCTAATTACATGATATCGACTAAAAAGGAGAATAAATTATAAAAGGCCAACGAAGGTAATGACACTGAGTAGAGTGGGTAGTAAAGTATTACATTGTAAAAGCCAGTTAGGCCAGTAAAGGAAATAATAATACAGCGGGCAGTGGCATTACTGAAAAGCAGCATGTGCTGGGAGGGATCGCATGAATCGGTCGTACTGTGGGATTTTCCTGATGTCGGGCTGGAGCCTGTTCCACAGTGATACACATTGGAATGAGGCAGAATGTGTGCCAGCGGATGTCTTAGTGACTGGAAATTTAAGTGCTCGATTTCCCTGACTGGCACGGCTGGCATTAAGAGGACTGAACATACCGCTAAGCAATGTGCTGCATTTACCCTGAAGGCAGCGCCAAGTGTGGCCAAGAAGCTTGTGGCAGTACATAACTTCTAGCGAGTGCAATCGCAATTGGCAATACTGCGGCACTGTGGGAAATAGAGTAGCTTCACATCATTGTCATGTGACTAAATTTCTGTAGAATAGTGATCATTTCATGTGGACAGTGGGACCAACATGGCCGACGTCATGTGACCCATAGATGCAGGGGTTGAGTGCAGGGGAAATAACATGGCCGATGTCATGTGACCCATAGATGCAGGGGTTGAGTGGAGGTGGAATCAACATGGCCGACGTCATGTGACCCATAGATGCAGTGGTTGACTGCATGTGTGGGTGCATTTGCGTGTGCCCGGATAAGAGGGATGTGGGCAGTGCCATGTCCAAACATGACGTCATGTGACCCATAGATGCAGTGGTTGACTGGAGGTGGAATCAACATGGCCGACATCATGTGACCCATAGATGCAGGGGCTGAGTGGAGGTGGAATCAACATGGATATCCTGTATGATCGTGTGATCGTTGTGAGACACTCTTTGTGCAAAAAAAGTCGTAGTAGTTGTTGATCTGAGTTTCATGCCACTGGGGAATCAGCAAACTACGATACCAACAAACAACTCGTTCAATTCTTGTGTGTGGGAAAAGACAAAATGTTGACTAGCGGTCTACTAATGTAACCGGATCATATTATGCGACAAGGCAAACGACTGACGGGGTACTGAGGCATTCAATGACCTGACACCATAGCGCAAAACGCATCTACGAAACGCAACCAAGCAACCATTCAATTCTTTCCTTCGTGTCCCTGTGTTCCGAGCTGTGGGCTGCTCCTAGTTCAGGCAGTGCCGTGTCCCAGCCTGCCCGGATAATGGGGAGTGTGGGCAGTGCCCTGTTCAAACATGCCCGGATAAGAGGGGTGCGGGCAGTGCCCTGTCCAAACATGCCCGTATAAGAGGGGTGCGGGCAGTGCCTCTTGAAGCCTTCTTTCAAGAGTAATTCAGAACCTTATCGATCCGACTTCTTGTGTGTGCCGAGATCCTTACACCTGTATAAAAGAGGAGTTCTATTGTATTGTGTTGCTCCGTGCAGCTCTGTGAGAAACTTGGAGCTCAGCTGGCCTCCATCAACCTAGCTATGTGTCGCAACATTGGGGAGCAGACGTGCGTCTCCATAGCAACCTACTGCACGGTAAGCTTGCTGACTCAGAGCGTAGGATAGACATGGGCATGTTTGTGTGTGGGGGGGGGGGATGTGTGTGTGTGTGGGGGGGGGGGGGGGGTGAATGTGTGTGTGTGTGGGGGGGGGGGGTGAATGTGTGTGTGTGGGGGGGGGGGGGGGGGGGTGAATGTGTGTGTGTGTGGGGGGGGGGGTGAATGTGTGTGTGTGTGTGGGTGGGGGTGAATGTGTGTGTAGTAGTAGTAGTAGTAGTATTTATTATTTTACTAGGGCAATCCCCACAGACTGTGAGTCTTTTTACAGGGTACCCTAGGTAAGTGCGTGAAATAGAGCTGAATGAAGAAAGCCGTAAGTGCGTGAAATAGAGTAAAGAAAAAAGAAAACGGTGGCTGCATACTGTGCCATTATGTGTGTGTGGGGGGGGGGGGGTGAATGTGTGTGTGTGGGGGGGGGGGGGGGTGAATGTGTGTATGTGGAGGGGGGGGGGGGGGTGAATGTGTGTGTGTGGGGGGGGGGGGGGGGGGGGTTGGGGGTGTGCATGCACGTCTGTGTGGGTGAATGTGTGTGTGTGAGTAAGTGTATGTGTGCACGTGCGTTTACGTGCATGTGTGTGTGTGTGTGTGCAAGTCCGTGCGCGCGTGCATGTGTGTATGTGTGTGTGTGTGTGTGTGTGTGTGCAAGTCCGTGCGCGCGCGTGCATGTGTGTATGTATGTGTGTGTGTGTTTACGTGCATGTGTGTGTGTGCAAGTCCGTGTGCGTGTGCGAGCTTTTGTGTGTGTTTGTGTGCGTGTGCGTGTGTGCGTGTGTGTGTGCCTTGTGTTATCGTGTGAGTAGTACCAGGCACATGTGGCATAAACAATGTCGTGTACCTCACTGGCCTGTACCGTAGGCCAGTAGCGTAGTGCATAGCGTAGTGCATAGCGTAGTGCATAGCGTAGTGCATAGCAACGCGCGTAGCAATGTGCATAGCAATGTGCATAGCAACGTGCATAACGACTAAAGTCTCTCTGTCTTTGTTCTGCTTTGCTACTGTGTCTGCAGGCACTGGTTTCGCTGAATATGGCAATACATTCGCAAATGACCTGCGCCGGGTTATTCCCTCTATTCTGCAATGCGGACAGAGCTAGTCAGTTCACGCATCTCGACTTTGACGGCTGTGCCAAGGTACTACAACCGTGATTTATTTTCTCTGCCTTGCTGTATTCAGGGCAATCGTGTGTCGCTCCCTACGTGGGAGCTCGCGCTCTTCCTGCCAACTTGAATTCTCACTTGACTGACTCACGATTGCCATCCAGAGCACACGAGAAGTCCATTGAACCTTTCACTCGGAAACCAGCAAGAATGCACCACTCCCTGCTCGCTACACAGCGTTTCCGGTAAATTCTTCCCTCATCAGTTGAGCTTGAGTAGGCTGAGGAGGATTGTGCCTGAAGAGCACCACTTACATAGTGCTGTCTTGTATTACTGTCTCCAAAAGAAGCCTGTTTTGAATATGAGCCTGATTTTCAAGATACACTATCGGCGCATAAGCCTGGTTTAGTGTTGAGACACATAGGAATACCTGGTTTAGTGTTGGGACACATAGAAATACCTGGTTTAGTGTTGAGACACATAGAACTACCTGGTTTGAATAGCAGCCTGGTGGGAATACAAGCCTAGCCCGTACATCTGCTTCTACAGGACTAAGCCCGGCTTTAATACGCGACATTACGGTATAATTATAGTGCTCTTCGGACTGCATCGGTGCCACTCAGTCAAGAGTGCACATCTGCTACAAGAACAGGAGTTCGTTAACCATGTCCTATGAAATACCTCTCTGAGACTCTGCCTCTCTGGGGCCACGAGTATGTTTGCCTCTTGTCTGCATTATCAGCATTAGCCCGTGGATTTGGGCGAACTATTTGTAATTCTTGCGACTTGTTTGGTCTTTTTTCCGAATACGCGTTATGTGTGCGCTTGTGCACATGTGTGTGTGTGTGTGTGTGTGTGTGTGTGTGTGTATGTGTGTGTGTGTGTATGTGTGTGCGTGTGTGTGTATGTGTGTGTGTGTGTCAGTGTGTGTGTGTGTCGGTGTATGTATGTGTGTGTGTGTGTGTGTGTGTGTGTGTGTGTGTGTCGGTGTGTGTGTTTGTGCGTGAATGTGTGTGCGTGTGTGTGCACCCTCTTGCGCCCGTGTGCGCACATGGGCATATTTTCGTACAGCTGGCTGGAAGTGTCCTGGAAGAGATAGCCTCGTCGTGTGTCAACGCTCAAAGTTTGAACTTCTCGACGTGTGAAGTACTATGCGACAGCACACTAGTGCACATTGGCCAGAACTGCCCTCATCTCACCAGCCTCGGGGTAAAGCGTTGTAATGACGTAAGTGTGACTGCTAGCTTTCTGCCTCTCTATTTAAACACTAAGAGGACGGAAAAAGTGTTTTAACTCTGAGTTTCACGCACTAAGCGATCATCAGATAACAGTAAGTAGAGCAGGTACAGTTTTCTGATGATCGACTAGTGCGTGAAACTCAGAGTTAAACACTTTTTCCGTCTTCTTATTGTTTGAACTGCTGTCGTGGATATGGAAATCCGGTCGCACGGCCCTCGGCACTGGCCAAGCAGCCGTGGATAAGCGGTGCACACATGCATTTATGCGCTGTATGCGTAGCGCGCTGGTCGCATCGGATCAACATGTGCACTGCACGCAGCGTTCTGTACGCGCTGGGGGCGACAGCCCCGGTCAATCGACTGGATTTCCATGTCCGCTACAGTAGCTCTGCCTCTCGGTATTGAGCACTGTCTTGGACGCCTGGAACCTCTCTGTTTTATTGTTTCTCTATTTATCCATCTATCCATCCATCTATCTACCGGTATAATTATATCTCTTTTCTTCTCCCCCCCCCCCCCCTCTTCACTCCACCACTGTGCATGCAGGTAACAGATTCAGGGCTGCTGAACATCGTGCATGGGTGCAAGTCCCTGCGCCACCTGGTCGCATCCGGCTGCCACAAGCTCACCGACTACAGCATGCGTGCCCTGGCGGAGAAATGCGAGCACCTTGCTTCTGTCTACATTTCGGGCAATGCCTATGTGTCCGACGCTGCTGCAAAGTACATTGAGGTATGGCGACACCTAGTTACAAAGCAGAAAGTTATGCTCTCCTTCAATGATATCTGCACTGTGCCTGAATGCACCATGGATGTGTGTGTGTGTGTGTCCGTGTGTGTGTGTCCGTGTGTGTGTGTCCGTGTGTTTGTATGTTTCTGTTTATTTCCGCGTGTGTATGTATGTGTGTTCTTGTGTGTTCATATGTGTTCTTGTATGTTCTTATGTGTTCATAAGTGGATGTGTGTTTGTACATGTGTGCGTTTCTCTTTCATCCCTGTCACCGATCACCTGCAGGACATGGGCCACAAGCGAGTGCACGTTGTACACCGAGTACCCAATCGCGGCGACGGCATAATCGTGGCCAAAAACTTGGACACGGGCCTGTACCAGTTTGCGCCGGACAGCGATGAGAGGTAGTGAACGAGCTGGTCCAGAATTGGTGATCGTAGTTGTATATCTGCATTGCAAGCAACAGCTTCTAGTACTAGTGGGTAAGCCTGACGAGACGGCAGCACCAAGCTAAGGTTGATGAGCGTAACATTACATGGTGCAGTGCGTCGGTTTATGACCGACTGGACATGCTTGCACTGGAACCACGTGCAGCGCAGGGCTTCCTTAACCAAGTTGACGAGCCGGGAAAGCAGGCATGATGTGCGTCGACGGCCACGGATGTGGAACAACACATCCCAAGAGTGATTTTAAATACTGCCATGCCAGATGCACAACTAGGCGTGTAAAGCAAAAAATATTTTCCCCGTTGTAGAATCTGGAAACAACATGCCGGTCTACGCCGAGCCTACGAGTGTCTGGTATGATCATGCAGCGGTTTTTGAACTGTTGCATCACAAAACCAGTGACAGGAGTCCGTTACATTATAGGAACTCTGCCATATTCGGACACCTTCCTCATATGAAACCTTGTTTTATCCACGTTGAGAGTTGTGTGCAAATATTGGCGGGTTTTCGTCACCATCAGCTATAAATTTCTATCTTTTTATAAATCTTAACGTTCAGATTATATCTTCAGAACTCGCTATTGTTTTTAAACTCAATTGCAGCATGCTCCTTGGACTTGAATACTATAGAGGTATAATACGCGATTGCACCATCAATTATATTGAGATGCTTTGGCGAGGTTGTGGTACAGCCATGCACTAAGTCTTGCACTAGCCACTCTCGCTGCGTGCATAGTGCCCATTAGACATTCGCTGGTACGCGTTGGATACTTAGCGCCCGTTAAAAATCCGCGGACTCGCCGCATGACACCGTTCGCATAATTGCCAAATATGGAGTGCAAGAGTAATGCAGGGGAATGCGCTGGGATCAGCAATGCACTGTTGAACACCCCACATGACCAGGCACAGGTGGCTGTGTGGGGTGTTATGTGAGTACGCTGGGATCAGGAATGCACTGTTGAACACCCCAGACGACCAGGCACAGGTGGCTGTGTGGAGTCACTGACACTGGGGTGTTGATAGTACAAATTACCCCATTGCGCAATGACGTAATTTGTACTACCGACAAGACAGCTGAACTAAACCTCACCCACACAGTGCCCCGGTATAGGCTGAGGTGACCGTAATGTCGAGGTCCGGATAAGAGAGAGCAGGGAGTGTACAGCAACACTCGATCCCCAGATCCGGATGCTCCTAATCTGGGCACATCCGTCTACTATCGTAGGTACCGGGCACATTTCTGACCCATCTTGAGTCACAAAAAATTGGCTTTTCAACCCAAAACAGCCCCAAACTATTGATTGGCATAAAATATGTTTACTTGCATGCAGTAAGTATGCAAGTTCGGAGTTACGGGCAATTCACAGTTATGGACAGTGCTCGGTCGCAACCTGCCTGGATCTGGGAAGTAGTTTGACAGTACATGTACCTCAATACAGTCCTGTGTGTCAACCGTCGTACCAACTGTATTATTAGTGAACAGGGGCTGGGGGTGGAGGGAGACGCTTGACGTCATCGCTATCCAACTGACTGTAGTGAGCTGGCCAGAATGTAATGATTACTGGAATGACAAGAGACTATAACATACAGCAGTGTGAATGTAGCACATCATGAAGGTGTGAGTACGACACGTGCAGTGATGTGTAGAATGCAACATGTGACAGCTAGGTGGTGCAAGAACAACGCAGTCACTATCATTACGCTGACGACGTCGCATCGTCTCCAGCTGACGAAGTCAGGGAGGGTGGTGTCACTGGTGGACCATTTCCCTTGTTTGCACTGCTCACACTATGTAACCAGGAAGTGATTCAGTTGATGGACAAAGCTCACAAACCTAGAAAAAAGGAAGTAAGTGTTTGGTAGTTAGCAGTACGCACCATTATTGCTACAAAAGAAGGCAAAAGGAACAAAAATTACTTGAAGTACTAGTTCAGAAACCTGATGATCTACAAGAAGGTTAAAACGAAAATTAACGCCAAAAGTAGCTAATCCATGAAGGCACAGCAATTACAAGTCCCCATCCAGTCGAAATTACGAAAATGCAACCAAAAAATGCTCACTACAAGTAAAAATGAGTAAACATAGCGCAAGAGAAACAGGATGCCGAACGCTCACAAATTTGGGGAACTACGAAGGAGATAAAAAAAAACTGAGAATACCATGGAACCTTACCGACAGCAGTACAGCTCAGCTCAGGGTACCAACAGCAAACACTTATGTTCACTGCATAGGAGAAAAGTCTCCCCAGTGCAAAGTGGAGAGTGGAGTCATTCCATTCTAGCTCAGAGCTGTGAACAGCACCTAGCAGCGGCTTACATAGAAGCTGTGGTGCAGTTAGCCCACAAAGAATTATCCGACAAAGAAAATAGCAAAAGCCAGAGAACAATGCAAGAGTTACATCAGCCAGCCAGCCAGGCAGCGTGACACCAAATGCAGCGTGTTGCCGGAACCGGAGAATGCGCAACAAAAACGGTCGAAACACACACGCAAAGGCACACACACGCGCACACGCATGGGGTGCTAGCATATCTTGAAATTCCTGCCCCTAAAAACAGAACTTCCCCTGCGGTGGCAAGGAGAAGATTTTCTTCAACTTGTCAAGCCCTAGGTGCCGGCAAGGTACCGAAGAAATGCACCACCGCGCTTCATGACCGTTCTGCTCCGGAAATTCCTGCCCTACACCTCCCCTAGACACACCATTGGCATTGGGGGAATGTTGGAGAAGGCACTGCACTTGAAAGCTACTAACCAGGAGTTCATCCGCTCAACCAGCAGTACACAGTTTCGTGGTGACTGCATTGATCAGCTACAGTGCATAACCGCATAACCTCACGTAACCTCACAGCACTGAAGTTAGAGAGTGCGCGTGCATGTGAAAGCTTGATGGTTCCGATTACGTCCATTTACAGAAATACACACTCCAACGTGATTGCTATCGTTATGTCGGTGGACGACTCATACGCGCGTTTCGGCCGTGTAGTTGCTGAAGATTACAGCGCCGCTTGACGACGACGTTTGGGAAGGCTCCCGGAGCCGAGAGCCAAGGACAAGGGCAACACCACCCCCATTGCCGCCATCGCCGACTCCAGCAACCACGGGAGCGGTAGCCATGGCAAGACGGTTACTGGTGCCGATACTGCGGCCGTGCGAAGACGTGGCACTGGCTGGTGATTGGTGGAGGGTGCTGCTGCCACCGATGCTGCGGCTGTACACTAGATGGTCGGTGTCCTGGCGAGGTGGTGGAATGCTCTCGCAGAAGTCCACCGAGCTCATCTCGCCCTGCTCGTGTGGCGACGAGCTACTCCCGCTGCTGTTGTTACTCGACGGTGGAGTGGTGCTAGCCGGACGAGGGTTATCCTCATGCAGCTCCACGTTCAGATTGCTGTTGCCATTGGTGACGGTGTCGTTGCCATTGGTGACAGTGTCGTTGCCATGCGTGTGGTCGTAGTCGCCGCTCGACGACAGCGCAGAGGCCGTGTCGGGGGTGTCCGAACTCTCAGGCGGCACCGTGAGCGGTGAGCTTCTCGATTGCGGCGACTCATCAGACTGACTGGCATGTTGTCGTGCGGCCGACGTTGCGGAACACGATAGGGTGTTGACGTTTTCCTGCGTGATTGTCATGTCCGAGCCAAATAGGTCGGTGGTGCCGTACGACTGCGACAGAAGGCTGCGCTCTGCGTCTGCATCGGCGGTGGTGGCAAGGCTCAGACCCGAGTCACTGGCCCGACGACCGTCCGAGGGGAATCCCCGTCCGTACGCGGCGGAGGACGCGGACAGCGGCGGCGGTGGCATCAGAGCATGCAGGCTGACACGTCCTCCAGCGGCGGCGACGACGGCGCTTCTACTGCTGCCTCGGCGCTGAAGGTGCTGTTCGCCCGACCTGCGCCGTGGCAACGATCCTTGCCTGCGCATGGAATGGTGAAGGCCGACCGCAGCGGCTGCGGGACCTAGCATTGGATTGCCGGCCAGCAGCTCACCATCAGCATACGCAGCAGCAGCACTGGTAGCAGCCACACTATGGCATGTTGCTGGTAGTACATACACTGCATTGGTGGTAGCAGCAGCACCGGCATCACTGCTGGTGGCACACTCGGGAAGCAGGTCCTCGGACGAGCCAGGGATGTAGCGCCGCGCAGGCCACTTCCGGTAGGGCAGAGAGCGCGCGACAACCTCGCCCTGACGATGTGCCTGCTCGTGTTTGTCCGCGGTGTGTTGTGTGAGGGCCGAAGAGAATATTCCGTCAATGCCCGTGATCGTCTGTTGGTTGTCATGGCAATCGTCGGCTACTGTCCTTGCGCACGCCATGTCGCCGAGAACGCGCCCGTCGCCATGGTTACCGACTTGCCTTGATGCCGCTGGTCGGGCCACGGGCGAACTGCCGCTGCCGTGCTGTGCACTTGCATGCAGTGTATCGCTTTGTGTGGGTGATGCTGGCGGCGTTTTCACGACACTCGCTGGATTCCCGCTATTGTTCTGCTGCAGGGTGGAGTCGGAGTTGCTATGGCTCTCATCCTTCTCAGCGTCACCCGAGTCGTCAGCAGCAGAGTCGCCGCAGGTACTTCTAGAAGCATGCGTATTCAAACTGTTCCGGTTACAGTGTGCGGATGTGTTTGCTGTGCCATCCTCGCCAGTTCTCCCCGCCTCCTCTAGGGAATCCGTGACACGCTTATCGTCACAATATCCCGCTGTGCGTGCGCGAGACGAGGTGCTTGATTGAGGACCAAGATCATGGCTGGTAGAGACAGGTCCCACTGCTTCACTGTGTGTCACAACAGCAGTGCTCTCGGTGCTGGCTCGATTTGCAGTGCTCGCAGGAATTCGTAGACCGGCCGGATCGGACTCATCGGCCAGACTTTCCTGTACCTCCGAGCCAGCATCCTCGCGCCTCTCGCCATCACCAGTTGCAGACGACGCGGATAGGTCCTCTTTTTTCACGGCTGCGGCAAGTGCCGTCAAGGACATACCCATGCCGAAGATACGACTGCGTGCACAGCTGGCCTGTACGCCATACAGATTTGCCATGCTGTCCGTTTGCGATGGCGGAACATGATCCTCATCGCTATCTTCTCCTCGGAATATGGCCACGTTGACGATCGTGTTGACGAGCGTCGATGATCCGTTATGTCTGCCACCGTCGGTTGCCGCGCCTGTGGCTGTGACAGCTGCTGTTGTCGTCTCGATTTTCTCCAGCGTTCTGGCGATGAACTTCGCGCGTGTCTTGCCTGCACTGATGCGTGATTGGCGTCGCTCGCACAGCTTTTCTATGGGTAAGTGCCGTCCCTCTTCCGTCTCATGCTCCCAGTTGTCATCGAAGGTGAGCCGTCGCTGGCTTGATAGGCACCAGTGCTGTGCAAGAACCATACAAAAAGAAGAGGTTTTAGAAGCGAGCAAGATACCCATCGTTCTGACAAACCGACCAAAATCCTGCTTCACTTTTTTCGTTAGAGAGTGTCCTAATCTGATGTTTGAGACTCTTGAAATTCTGAAGCATGTTTTGGATTCTAAATGGTGCGATGTTTCCTTTTACATACGCATCCGTGGATAAAGTTGTCACCTAAGGCGATTCCTCAAAGAACAAAGATTATAGCAGAAATAAATCAATAGAGCGTAGTCCAATACCAAGGGCAAAACACCAGTACGTCTTCAGTGACAACTTTATCCACTGATGCTAGTCACATGAGACATTCGTTCTAGAAATACAACTTGAATACAAATCACATGTGAACGAGTGGATAAAGTTGTCACCGAAGGCGATTCCTCAACGAACAAAGATTATAGCAGAAATAAATCAATAGAGCGTAGTCCAATACCAAGGGCAAAACACCAGTACGTCTTCAGTGACAACTTTATCCACTGATGCTAGTCACATGAGACATTCGTTCTAGAAATACAACTTGAATACAAATCACATGTGAACGAGTTATGCAGCAACTATCCACGACTGTAACAAGATGATGAACGGTCAGAAAGTGCGACAATAGGGCACAAAACTGACAGGCTACTGAGACATTCAGCGTCTTTTTTTAAACATTTTATTACTGGCTCAGTATCCGAGTTTGAATACAAATCCACAATCGTTGCCATTGAATTGTTTGTGTGACATGGGTACCACGTTCATCTTTCTTATTTCTATCTCCTCGTCGACTTTTAAACGCTTCTGATTGGCAGGAATATGTTAAGTTGCATGTAGTATGAATGTTCCGAGTTACGGGCAATACTGGTTACGAAGTCTTGATGAACTTTTAGGATCTGGCCACATTGGTGGACAGTTCGTCGTAACTCGTGATATTTTTCTCCTTCCTTTTATCCATGATTACATTGGCTCAACATCCAAGAACTTTTATGTACAAGCATTAAACTGAGGACTGGGTGTGGTGCCATACTTACCTCACGGATACTGAATACCAGCGCTGCCATGGTAAACAACACGGCGCCTGCCTGCAGGATCACACCAAAGCCGGCCAGGGGCAGCTTGAACTGGAGAAAATCCATCAGACGCTCTGCATGTCGAGAAACACACACACACACACACACACACACACACACACACACACACGCACCCACACACACACACACACACACACACACACAGAAATGTCCCTTTGCTTCATTGCTCACAGAGACTACAGCCATAGTCCAAACAAATTAACAGTTCGCCTGAGACTCAGCTGCAGGCCCAGTTTTCCGCGTCCGTAGGAACGCCACCACCCTCTTAGATCAAGGCGCAGATGCAGCTCCTAAAGCGGTGGGAGGCGAGTAGATCAGACCCGCCACAAAGTGGTCAAAGACCGAATATTTCATTAACTGCATCCATGTGAAGAACCATTTTAAATGCACTCCGCTCTACCCTTTACAATGATCAGAGCTCACAGGCAAAGACAAAAATTCCACGTGGGAGCATAGTGATGGTGCGGCTTTTGCCCTCGGCCGTCATGGGGATATAAAACTGCCCCTGGCCGCACACTCCTGGAGCCATGGCTGTGGCAGCCATATCACCTTCCACAGAAACTGGACCTACCTTGCTGCTCATAACACTGCATGAGGGGATCGACGATACGAGCGGTCAGCAGTGACTCTCCTTGACTGGACACGTTCCGGTGTTGCTGTGGCTCCCCACCGCTATTGTCAGGCGAGCCGACGCAGAGTAGATACACACCACCACACTGACAGCCACCGTCCTCTAGGGTATGACATTGTGCTTTGTTACCTGCACACCGAGTCAATCACAACACAATGTTCCTAAGGTTTCCTGTAAAAAGGCGTCACCGCCTGTTGGGAATTCTCTAGTAAAACAAGAATAAATTTGGGCACCCTGTAAGAGGACCTTAGGGTCTGTTGGGAATGCCCAAGTAAAATAATAAAATACAATACAAAAAATAAGCAGTGGCATAGAGTACTGTAAGAATTGAAAGTGTGACGACGAGTCAAAATTTAACGATTGCAACATATTTCCCACTTAGCGGGCAAAAAGTGTAACGACCCTGCCATCATCACCCACCTGTCTTCTATTTCTCTAGTACAGAGGAAAGAAGGAATAATAAGCGGCGCGGAGACAAGAACTTTAATAAGGCAACAAGCAGAATCAGCGAAGCGGACATTGGACGTAGTCATGAACAAAAATAAAAGTTGGATAAAACATTTTTTCAAACAGTAGTTTGGAGGCGGTGGGAAAAACAGTTTCGTAATACGTATTCGCATGCAACGACGCAAATCCACACAATTCAGTAGACACTTTTTTCTATCAAACGTTTTCTTTCCCTTCTCTTCAGGATAGTACAGGGAATGTTGGAAATTAGAAAAACACATAACTATATAGAGAATGAAAGAAAGAAAAAGTCAACACTTCAACATAGGTGTTAAAAATGATTAAAGTGTTAACCCTTTAAGAGCCGCCCCATACTTGAATGCGTTGTAAACGACGCATTCAAATGCAAAACTTCAAAAGACCGTAACTCAGTCCAATCTCGCTCAAATCCAGTGATCGAAATATCCAGGGCGAAGAGAAAACTCTCACCTGTCGGGAGAAACAACCCGCGAAGCGCTGCGAGCAACGGTTCCTGAGATAAATCACTCGTAAGTTGAGCCGCGATCGCGGCAATTTCAAAAGCGCGCAGTGCGACTTTAGTATTGAGAATTTTGAGACTTTTCGTCACGCTGGTTTACTCGAATTTGCACGGGTTTCACTGTTGATATTGTCAAGAGTACACAGCGAAAAAATTGGAACTCCACGATCCAGTAAAATGAAATATCTGGAGCGGGACGCAATTGGACGCATTTGGGGCATTTTTCGTACTGTCGCTGCGATCTAGCGCTGGATAGACGGTGTGCTGGCTATCATGATCGACCTCATTCTCTTCCTCTCGCGGAGACCTTTCCAGGAAGCCCTAGATTGTGAGGATTGAGTGAGTAGAACTGAAGCTATGATCCAAGGAACACGAAAAAATGCAGAATTTTGAAAAATTCCTGTGGCTCTTAAAGGGTTAAAAACTCAAAAACAAACAGCTGCAAGTTGTAGACAAACACGTTGAACACATCAGGGAACACTTGTCACACTTTCACGAGGTGCGACACCAAACAACTGCAACGATAACACATTCTCCTTCTGTACACATAGTTCTGGATCTAGTTTACGAATATACAGAGCTTCTAACACAGCAAGATGTAACTTAGACCTTCCACGAGTCAAAATCGAAAAGATATCATCACTATACAACTTACGACAACTAGCACTGCCCGACAAATGACGCTTGATGGACGATGTCCGATCACTTAGCTCTGTCACCTTCGACGCCTGCCGTTGTTCTCTTCCGTTAGGCTTGTTTGGTTGGTTGCTCCGGTCCACACCTCCAACGTCCGTTGATTTCATGTCCGTTTTTGTTGATTTCATGGCCGTTTTCGTGTCACTTCTTGGTCTTCCTCGTTTCCTCTTGTTGATCGTTGTTGTCACTTCCATTATCGACGTATTCAGATCCCCAGTACTCCGTCTCTTCACCTTGCTTCTGGTAACTCTTCCGGTGTCTATGAGCTCCAGTGTCACATTGGATGGTTTTCGAGACGGTCTCCCTCGCTTCCTCACGCTTGTCTGAGATGGGCCAAGCTCCCCGCCCGTCGAGGCGGAGGCGCGCATGCGTACATCTACACTGGACGCAGACAAAGGCGTTCCAGTATCGGACTGCACAGCACATTTTGGAGGAACCCTTCAACACCTGGGCGCACGCATCCGTCAACATGTGCCGTTAGGTCTTGTCCCTGTTGACGCTCGTGGTACTCGTCCTCGTCGTGGCCGTCCTCCAAAATGTGCTGTGCAGTCCGATACTGGAACGCCTTTGTCTGCGTCCAGTGTAGATGTACGCATGCGCGCCTCCGCCTCGACGGGCGGGGAGCTTGGCCCATCTCAGACAAGCGTGAGGAAGCGAGGGAGACCGTCTCGAAAACCACCCAATGTGACACTGGAGCTCATAGACACCGGAAGAGTTACCAGAAGCAAGGTGAAGAGACGGAGTACTGGGGATCTGAATACGTCGATAATGGAAGTGACAACAACGATCTACAAGAGGAAACGAGGAAGACCAAGAAGTGACACGAAAACGGTCATGAAATCAACAAAAACGGACATGAAATCAACGGACGCTGGAGGTGTGGACCGGAGCAACCAACCAAACAAGCCTAACGGAAGAGAACAACGGCAGGCGTCGAAGGTGACAGAGCTAAGTGATCGGACATCGTCCATCAAGCGTCATTTGTCGGGCAGTGCTAGTTGTCGTAAGTTGTATAGTGATGATATCTTTTCGATTTTGACTCGTGGAAGGTCTAAGTTACATCTTGCTGTGTTAGAAGCTCTGTATATTCGTAAACTAGATCCAGAACTATGTGTACAGAAGGAGAATGTGTTATCGTTGCAGTTGTTTGGTGTCACACCTCGTGAAAGTGTGACAAGTGTTCCCTGATGTGTTCAACGTGTTTGTCTACAACTTGCAGCTGTTTGTTTTTGAGTTTTTAACACTTTAATTATTTTTAACACCTATGTTGAAGTGTTGACTTTTTCTTTCTTTCATTCTCTATATAGTTATGTGTTTTTCTAATTTCCAACATTCCCTGTACTATCCTGAAGAGAAGGGAAAGAAAACGTTTGATAGAAAAAGTGTCTACTGAATTGTGTGGATTTGCGTCGTTGCATGCGAATACGTATTACAAAACATTTTTTATCCATCTTTTATTTTTGGTCGTGACTACGTCCAATGTCCGCTTCGCTGATTCTGCTTATTGCCTTATTAAAGAAGGAATAATATACGTGTAAAGTTTCTTGAGTTAACGATGGATTCTTTCTAGTTAACCCTTTGTGACCCCATCGATCGATTGGTGTACTGTGGCACTAAAAAAATTATATCTCTGGTGTTCCTTCACCGAATTTCATAAACAAAGCATCTACGTTTCGAGAGGAACCTTGGCTATCACGTCGAAGTTATCCGAAGTCTCTACGAGGTACGATGCCACCGTGGTGAGACTCGAGGTCGGAAGAAAACTGAACAATTCACTCCGATCGAAAAATTCAAATTTTCACACTGCACTTCGCAGGGGTTTTCCCCGGCGTGCTACGTCATACTCAAGCATGCAGCAAACCAAAATTTTGCGCTTGAAACGAGCTTTCCCCTGTAGTTTGTTTGAAGTCAATCTGATGAAGGAGAATGGAATGGCGGCTGTTTTAACTTTGCTGGAGCTGTTCGCGCACGGCTGCTGTTTTGAGCAGCATTCTAGGCCACGCAGAGCAGAGGCCGTGCAGGTAGCTGGCTTGAGTGTGGTATTAGTCGCTTCGCCTTGGAAATACCTTTCCAGCGGCGGCAAGTTTGTAAAAATCGGTGAATGTTTGGCAGAGATACAAGCGAAAGTGCATGTTATTCGAAGGTGAGTAAATTGTTGTACTTTCAGTGGGGTCACAAAGTGTTAAACAGTATACTAAACACTGGACGCTGTGCCCCGCTAGAGATTCAACTCTTACAGTACCGTATTCCCCAGTTATATGTCATACTTGATTATAAGGCTCAACCCATTTTCAGGTCTGAGCCAAATTCAGGGCTCACAGCAACCATGCCAAAACCTCGATTACGTGGGAGGACATCTTGGATCTGATCACCATAGAAACGAACTCGCGTGACCGCTAAGCGCAGGCGTAGAACGCAGTCGCGCAAGGAGATTTTGACTTGCTTGGGCTTAGTTGCTGTGACAAGGACTGAGTCGTGAATGGTGAAGGAGATGGCCGGAGACTGTCTCACTATCTCTATTTCATTTCGGTAGTTCTTGTTTCCTTCCAAGTGGATTATTTCGCGAGCAGTGTTGGCCTTGTCGGCCGAAGGCTTCATTCAGACTGTCCGCACACGGAGTCCTGCGAAAAGTAGCCCCGAGCAGAATCCTGAAGTCGTTGACGAAAGCGTTCAACATCTACAGCCGGGCAGCTACGCCGCTGATGCACAGGCGCGGGTGACGGGAGAGGGAAAGGACTAGCATTCCTTGACGGCATGGAGCAATGACTCACGTCGTGTTCTAGTTTTAGTTTCTCCGCCGTGAAGTCCTGTTGTGTAAACGTAAATATACGGCTGGTCTGCGAAGAGCCGTGTAGCGCAGTGGTGACGATGTGGAGTTGTGAATTATTTGATTCGCCACTCCGTTTCGTTGCAAGAGAACAAGTCCAATGGCTTCGCCGTTGTGCTGGCCATGTATTTCTTCGGTCTGCCATAACCATGATAACTCCTGGAGGACACAGCGATGAAGCGCCAGGCGAGTAGCAAAAACATTTCAAAAAATTGCTTTGCTGCTGGTGTTGTTTCCGCATTCACAACAAGTGCAGCGCGCGCGGTTCTTCCTCGCGGCTGCACTGCAGATAGGGTTGCCTTTGAAATGTTCGTTTGTACCCGTCTCTGGCCCGATTTTGATGGCCAATAGCTTAAAATTTTCAGTAGGAAAATTAGAAGAACTTCTCCGAGAGACTTTTCAATTTTAGTACAATAATCCAAATCAGAATTACGCCTGCACCAACTGATACTTTGGCTCCATATGTACGCCAAACCGTATCGATTAAAACAAAAAACTCTCGGACAAATCCTTACAATGGGTATTGAGAGTATGTTCCTAGAGTTTCAGAGGCCTAGGCAAAAGCATTGGTACAAATGAACATTTTGAATGCACCCCACTTTCAAGTTTTCAGAGATATCTGCCTGATCGCATGTACACGATTCTGGCATGCTGGCTGGCTCGTGTGACAGCGGCCTGTCCAAAATGGCGCCCACGCTTTTGTGTGATGCTGTGAGCCCTGAAATTGTTCCAACACATTCACACATGGAAGATGGCAACAAAGAATTACATTCACACAAGTAGGAAGCCGTCACACTCGGTTGTAAGCCGCACCCCCCCCCCCTTGCTTTCCCTTTAGGTTTAGTGTCACACGGTGCTGTGACTTGCATTCGGGGGCAATACACTACACAGAAACAGTTCAACTGAAAAGCAGCAACGGGATCTCTAGTCGCTGTGCTCCGTTGATATAACACCCAGTCCAGCTTGCCTGGTTTCGCCTTCAACAGAGCGAGAGTGAGTACTTGTACTACCACAATCATATTAATATACAGTCGTCCCTCTCTAATCCGGCACTTTATAATCCAGCACCCTCGATAAACCAGCACAATTTTCAGTAGCCAAAATGTCCTCTTCATGCACATTGCAGCAGTAAATCAGATTTGTTAATCCAGCACCCTCCCTAATCCAGCAGATTTTCGTGGCACAAATGGTGCCGGATTATAGAGGGACCACTGTACTGTAATTTCACAAATTTTCGATGTACTTTTATTTTGATAACCGCAATCAATAAAACTAGCTGAACCGACATTTGTGTACTTTATTCATGCAATGTAAAAACGGTGGAGACGATGTGCAATAAAACGATGAATAAAATATGAAGAAATGGTGTAGAGAAAAAAATGGATTCAAACAAGTTTTCGTACAACACTCATCAGGAATCGTCGTTGTACTAAAGGACACTGAAACAAAAATTGAACTATTATAGAAAATCTAAGTTAGAGAAATAACACTAAGAGCAACAGCAGTGAAATTTACAAGTGTGAATTTTAACAATCAAAGCGAGAAATGAACAAAGGAGAAAGGAAGGAAAGACAACGTGATAACACATAACAGCAGTACATTACACCTAGAACATTAACGGCCAAGCTTGGCCGCACTAAACACGACACGTTACTTGAACAATTTCAACCCAATTATACTATCTTTCTGTACACACAAATTAGGCTTATACAGACGCTGATAGATAGCTTCCAACACTTTTAACAGCTTCCAACACTTTTAACAGCTTCCAACACTTTTAACACTTCCACCTTGCGCACAACAACAAAGACCGAAGCGAGGGCGACCTAGAAAACAACCATTAACCACACAGCCGTCGCCTACACAACCCGCGGATCCTGGCTCACAGACTGTGCTTGCTCCGCCGTCGCTGGTGGCGGTGGGGGAGGAGAATGGGTGTGGTGGCTCATCGGGTCGGCTTGTGTCTCCGCCTTTGCTCCGGCCGTCGGTGGTTCCTTCGTCAGTGCCCCCGGCGGCTTTGGTTGAGGCGGTGCCACTTGCGGTCCCGGTCCCACTGCCTCCTCCTGATCCTCCGGCATCGGTTCTTGCGGCGGAGGAGCTTGCCAGTGGCAGACCGCGAGCAACACTGACAGTTGTATTAACACTACAAATGCCGACTCAAAAAGACCCACCTTGCATATTAGTAGCTCCCACACCAACACCAACAACGCAATCTACAGCAACCACAACTAATCCACCATCCAAGCCCATTATTGAAAGACCAAGACGATCAACAGCCAACTACAACAGAAGCTACGCACTCAGCGGACAAGGGCGAAAGGAGGGACGTGATAGCAGGGTGACGGCCGAGTTGAGTTCAATGGACCCGGTCAGGCGGGATGGACGAGACAGAGAGAGTACAGAGGAAGCGGAGGATGGAACGGACGGCGGAGGGAGCAGTGAGTTGGAGAGCAGTGATGGAAGTGATGGTGAGAGTGTTAGTGTTGTGTGTAGGTTTCGTGGTAGCAAGTCTTCAGTGTACAACCATCTGCTAGCTAGTCCTGATTGTTGCAATTCGTATTCCGACTCTTCGTTCACTGTATTGTGCCGTGGTCGTCATGGTTATGGACTACAGTTAAAAGTGTTGGAAGCTATCTATCAGCGTCTGTATAAGCCTAATTTGTGTGTACAGAAAGATAGTATAATTGGGTTGAAATTGTTCAAGTAACGTGTCGTGTGTAGTGCGGCCAAGCTTGGCCGTTAATGTTCTAGGTGTAATGTACTGCTGTTATGTGTTATCACGTTGTCTTTCCTTCTTTTCCCCTTTGTTCATTTCTCGCTTTGATTGTTAAAATTCACACTTGTAAATTTCACTTCTGTTGCTCTTAGTGTTATTTCTCTAACTTAGATTTTCTATAATAGTTCAATTTTTGTTTCAGTGTCCTTTAGTACAACGACGATTCCTGATGAGTGTTGTACGAAAACTTGTTTGAATCCATTTTTTTCTCTACACCATTTCTTCATATTTTCATCGTTTTATTGCACATCGTCTCCACCGTTTTTACATTGCATGAATACAGTACACAAATGTCGGTTCAGCTAGTTTTATTGATTGCGTGTTATCAAATTATTGTCTCCTCGCCGTGTGTTTAAATGTACTTTTATTTTCGGTACTTTCGGTGCGTCTGTTTCATACCTAAAATTTCAATACACCGAACAAACACTAACACACATAATCCAATAGGGAACTGCTTCTCTGTACCGAAAATTTCCGTTCACCTAACCTAGCCTGTTGCCCTCATACCGAAAATATTGAGCACCGAAAATTTCTGAAATTAGAGTACTCGAGTGTGCAAGAGACTTTTGGTAGCAGAATCGACTTGAAAGAATGTTGAGAGTTATAGGCGATTCGCATGACAGGAAAAAAATGGCGACTTTGGGGTTGCAGGTGGTGCAAGGTCACCACACTACAGATGTGCAGGCTACGCTCTTGCTGATGGCAAACCACAATCATGATTAGTCATTGCCCCTTTATGTGCTGTCCTGAACTGACCTTCAATCAAGTTGTCGACAACGGAGAAGTGGTGTACTGCAATGGCACAGGTAATGAACCCCGCTAGCACCATCACCACACACGCTATTAACTGCAGACAGAATAGCATCACACACAGATACAGACACAGACACAGACATTGGACATGCGTATGATGAGTACAACATGCATAGGACTGCACATACATGAATGCACCCAACAGATGCAATCAGCGTGTATACACACATACCATTGGAACATTGGACGCCCATCGCCGGAGGCGATGATAGCAATGCTACAGCAGAAGCCATAGCAGCTTGTGCTGGGATTGCACCATTTAACAGCTTGCAAGGCTGAAGAATTGACCACCACTATTCAGCCTGGTCTACACCACACAGCTATGAAGTGGCTTTTCTGGCCAGTGAATCCCTACTTTTTGGTCTTTTTCATTTTTTTTCACACACATACATACAGACACACACACACACATATATACACACACACATATACACAGACACAGATATACACAGACACAGACACGAACACACACGCACATACGCACACACACACACACACACACACACACACACACACACACACACACACTTGTACTTGTTGCTCACTGCCAAAACTGGTCACGTGGGTCTCCCCGGGAGAGGGGAGAGAGACTCAAAAGGAATCTTGGAAAGATGACTCAATTGGCTATTGAACCGCCCAACGGCCGACACCCCCTGAAATCCCCAAAACTCTGGGTGGACTTGAAAATGATCCCACCTATGGGCTCAACACACCTCAGTAAGTGGGTGAGGACAAGGTGCAGAAAAAGGATTGACGGCATCAGGGTATCCGTCCTGGGATCCAACTGCAGTTACCCCTGCCCCCAGTGAAGGTAATACTTGCTACTAGTGTGGGTGGCTAAATCAGAGTGGATATGATATAAGCTTCACTAGCATCGTTGATTACACAAGAGTTAATCTAGCCAGAAGCAGTCCACACACACACACACACACACACACACACACACACACACACACACACACACACACACACACACGCATGCACACACGTGTGCTTGCCCACAGCCAAAACTGGTCGTGTGGGTCTCCCCGGGAGAAGGAAGAGTACCTCAAAAGGGAATCTTGGAAAAATGACCGGCTTGGCTATTGAACCCCCCCTCGTCCGATTAGCCATTACAATCATACCTTGTTTTCCGGACCACAAAGCCACGGGCACTTCGCTCTACCGGGCACCCGTTGGGCGAGTTTCGGTGGAAAGAGTACCACTCTTTTGTCACTTTTTTTGTGGAAATAGTGCCGTCACGTGCCATATCAATGGCCGTTCCGCATCAAAATGTGTGTGATTCGGAGTTTAATACGGCCATTTCAAAGTTACTGGTAGTGCCCCGGCCGTGGACCGCCCGGAGAAGTGATGTATGAGTATAGTACAGTAAAACCTGGTTTAAGCGACCACCCCACGGTGCAAGCAAAAGCGGTCGTTAACCCTTTGTGTACCAGCCCCATCTCGAACCGTACCATATGGTACGGTTCGCTGCACTCCAATCAAGCGCGCCGTTCCCCGCCGCCGTAGCTCCGATCGAGCCGCGGTTTTTTTGCGCTCGACAGCTGAGGTCCCACTGAAAATTTTGATGTATGATATGGGTAGGTTGCCATTTGAAAGTATGGAGAACGAACGCGTTCAAAAGTATGCTTTTCAGCGCAAACAATTGTCGCTGTTTCGATCGTGTTCTCGCTCAGTTTCTCTGCTTGTAGCAAAGATGTAGATTGTTCTAGGTCATGGCGACGTCTTCTAGATGTGGTGGACGATTGGAGAGATCGGCTGTGGCGATATCATCGCGGAATGCGACTCGAAATTGAAAATTTGTATCGCTGATCCCATCGCAGTATTCGCTCTCAAAACAGGAGCAAGAGGGAGGGCAGCGATGGCCTAAAATCGTCAAGGCAGGCGTAATTCACCAGCCAGCGACTGCTTCTTGTCTTCTCTTTCACTTACCTTACGCTGGATGTGAGAAGATGAAGAAAAATATAGATTTCGAATCTGACACAAGAATTCAAAATTTGCAATTTTGAACCAATTGTTTTACCTCAAATGTGTGACAATATGACCATATCCCTGGTATGTTGTTGCTCTTCATGCACTGAGACAACGCTTTTGAGGTTGTTTTGTCCCTATGTTCCCAGTACATGAGCACAAGCTAATTCTCAGTCTATTTTTTTGTGATACCCTGGTTGGTCAGAAATATGCACAATTGGCGCGTATCTTTGGTATTCCACCTATGGCCTTCATATACTACTGCATGCTGTACCAATATCCATGCTTACCTGGGTGCAGTGATACATATGGAGTCAGGAAAACACAACTTGCATATACAAAAGTCGTCTAGATTTCATACCATGGTTGCTTCTGTGGCTGCGATAGCCCCTTACATACATTAGATGGCTGGTACATAAAGGGTTAAAGCCAGGTGGTCTTTAGAACCAGGTCCCACAGTGTCTGTGAAGAACTGTCGGTGCACGGAAAGACGGTCATTAAGTTAAGAGCAGGTGGTCGCTAAAACGAGAGGTTGCTTACACCAGGTTTTACTGTACTAAAATACATCCCTTGAATTACAGTAGCTTTGACTTACCACGAATAACTTCCGGCTATCCAGCAGCTGCGCGGAATAGCGTCGAAACCGTCGCAGCAGCCACATGCCACTCATCAGCAAGAATAAGCATTCCAGCATCATCTGCAAGTGAGAGAAAGCAAACAACTCAACACCATGACAAAATGCACTCTACGTGCGCCAGTCGCAGCTCTAGCTGACAACCCGGGCAACTTCCAAGTAGGACTCGAGGTACATCTAGCGTAGTGTTTCCCTGTGACATTCTTCGTCCAACCTTCTGCGTGGTTTTAACATCGGTACAACTTATACCCAGACGTATGGAAATTCACTTGCAGCTTCATCTCTGATTCACGAAAAAAAATTGGAGCTGCAAGAAAGGTTCAAAAGGGTTAAAGGTGACCATTCTACTCCACAGGGGCATCGGAAGGGATCCGACATTGGTGCGGCCATGAATGGGCAGAGGGTCCAGGGGGTCCTCCTCCGGGAAAACGTTAGGGATATTGGGCCCAAAGAGCCCACATTCTATTGCCTCAAAAGTGATGACGTCAAAAACGGCCAGGGAGTAGTAATTTGACATCAGATTTCTATTTTGGATCCACTAAGGTGTGACTTTGCTATTGCCTCAGTATGTGGGTGCATAGCAACCCACTCATGTCGTATGCATGTGTGACTTTTACTCCGCCACCAGTTGTCACCCCGCCCCCAGTAGCCAAATCAGTCAGTTTCACTGGCTACATCACCTTGCTGTGAGTAAGGCCGCTTGAAATGTGCTTGGATCCATACAAAAACTGGATCCAAATGGATCCAGTTTTTGAATTTTTGAAATTGTTGCTATGCTGTGACGTAGCACTTTCAAGCCCTATTGCCCCAAAAATCACAAGATGAAATTATTGGTGCGGCTTTGCCTGTACCTGCCGCACCGATTCCGACCCCCCTGCTCCAGGTGAACCTTCCCAAATGAACCAAGGTTCACCTACCTGTACAACTCTGTCCAGTACGGCGACAAAAAAAACTTCCTAAACAAGAGATTTGAGCCCAACGCTAGATCTATCTAATTGGGGCTGAAACGATCATTCATTAACCCTTTACCGGTCTACCATAAGCGAACCGATACTATAGTATCGGTACGTTTGGCCCTCATTTTTTGGGGTCTTGTTGCTAGGAGACAGCTAAAATGGCGCTCTACGCGTAGCTGAGGTCCAAGGCTTTCTGACGATGTACAAAACAACCATGCTTACCATACAAATTTTTGCCGTATCGATCCACTGAAGTTTGTTGAAATTGGAAAAGACGACCATCCGCCATGCGTGCATTTAGAGAATGCGAGTGCATCTCTTGGGGCCGTGTTTGACAAGCGTTCTGAGAGCAGTAACACCACCAGTCCAGCCTGGATCTCCCGGGAGGTTTTGCAGTGTAGTGTGTTGAGAAAAAAAGCTCCGTTGAGTCCTGCTAGTTCAAAAATATATCATCCACGAATGAAGAAACAAAATTCTCCAAAAAGAGAGGAAGCCTTCTTGCTGCCGACACGGCCACAGTGACTGTCACAAGGACTCGTCAGGTGCGATCAGCTGATTCGCCTGGCCGTGAGAATCACGGCATGCGTAAGCTAGTGCCTGAGTGCTCATCTGAGCGAGAGTGAATCTGACGCGAGCAGCGCTGAGATGAACAAACCGAAGCTGCGATATCGTGGAATGGGAATTGCTGCTGCTGGCGTATCGCCGATGGCGAGGTGTTGGTGTTCAATGGCGGTATTGTAGAGAGCCTACATTTCTTGTAAAGACGTAGCCCTTACCTGATTGTTTATCGTACGACTTCAGCTCCATCACGAACTTGGTATGCCCTTCGTGCTGTGATATTCGTGTATTTCATTCGCAATTGTATTTTCTCTCAACTTGAAGGGCTACCATGGGCCCTATCCTTGCTTGGACCTAGTCATATTTGAATTTTCTGGACGCGTTCAGGCATACAGATTTTGAAAATATATGGTTTACCCATACCTACATCACATGGTTCTTGAGTTATTGCTGGTTGTGTGTACATGTATTTGCGTGACCACCCCTCGCATACATTGAGTTAGACCGGCAAAGGGTTAACTCCTAATGACCGACCAATATCATTAACGATCGATATATTGGTTTTATCGATTCTTGCCGGCTCTAGCCGTGTGCTTCGAACACCAGTTTATGAAGAAATTTCACGATACCTTTTGCTGCGGTACAAATTTGTGGCTCAGCACTGTTGACATCTGGCTGGTTTATCAGCATGAACTAGAAAATTTCATGTTGTTTCTAGAGCGAAGAATCTTGTCATCACTCGCTGGCAACTGCTCTTATCTCCGACCTCCCCCACAAATGAACCGAAAAGACAAAGTCTCCTCTCCCGATCTCTTTCAAAGCCACAAATCAATTTTACCGCGCTTTAAGAAGAAGTACATGATTGTACTCTTATTCACTATCGGATGGAGTGCAAGGGCTAGAATACTGTCACTGATGTGCATGCATAAAGAATCGTTAGCACTCGTTTTGAACACTAACGGTTATCGATTGCACTCTTAACGATCGATATGCGAGTTATCGGTATAAATGTTTCAGCCCTACAGTATCTACTACCTCCGACAAGCGAAACTTGGCGCGTTTTTTACTTCAAATTACGAGAAATAAATCACACTTTACAATCAAAACTAATGATTGACTCACCAAAATTCAACTTGGTATTGCTCAACAAGGACATAAGAGGCATCTGCTCGGCAGAATCACTTTCCTCTGATTCAGAGATCGCAGTTTTGTCTGGAGAGGAGTTGTTCCTGTTTGGAGACGAAAGTGTGACTAAAGCGGATTCAGTTGCAGCAAGTACCTCTGTTGTGATCGCTCTGAAAATCTCGATGTCGCTCCTGTGTGCTGTGCTCGAGCCACGGTGTCGAGGGTAGTCGTTTCCGCCGCCACTATCCAGGTTGACATGGTAAGAACTGTGCAACACCTCCACAAGCGCCTGGACTCCAACTGTTTTGCCGGGTATTCTCGCCAACTGTCCAAAATTGCCTGCAGCAATTCCTGGCGATTTTCCTTAGCCACCAGAGACGCATCGCTCTAGTGGCTATTGAAAGACGCTAGGATTGTTTGGCATGGACGTATGGACTCTGTGCTGGCGGAGTGACCAATTGGAGAGAGAGAGAGAGAACTCCTTGGTTTTCCATTGCAACGCGAAAGCACGACGATTCTCCTTCGCAGAATGGACGCGCGCACTGTTTTGCTGGTACACGAGAGACTGGCTTGCCTCTGACTAAGTCTGAGCCATGTGCCACTCACCAGCTCGTCGCTTGGCTTCCTGCACCCGATTGCATGGAGGTACAAGTAGGTCGTACCTCACAGCCTTGTGAAGTTGTGGTACCAACACAAAAAAAATCAACAACAAAAAAACGCGCCAAGTTTCGCTTGTCGGAGGTAGTATCATGAACAGGGTGGAAGAATGCTGACGGATTTGTCGCGCAATGTGAAGCTTTGCCGTCGCAGACTCAATGGCCTGGGGTTGCACACTGTTGGGGGTTACCGCCATGCACTCATGATGGCTTCAAAAATGGTAGGGCTACAGGAACAAGCAGTGAGGTCGTTGAACACCTTAAACATAGACGAGACAAAACACAGCAACACACAGTGACCTGTACAGCAGCACAACTACAGTGGTGCTGCTCAATGAAATCCCGTCAAGTCACTCAAGTACGCCATGGGAACATTGGGCTGTAAAAACGGTGCACAGTGCCAACCTGAGTAATGTGACCAAATTTCATTGAGCAGCACTGTAGTTGCCATGGACACCCAACACAGCACCATGGACATGGATGACTGCTTACCATGGCTGACAATGTGGCGTCATGTCGGCCGATCGTCAGCGACGAAAGCACCGGACTGTCGGACGGCCGAGTACACGTCAGATTGGCGACAACAGCGGAGGCGCCGCTTCCGTCGACCAACCACAGTACGGCACTGCGTACAGAGCGCGGCACTTGCAGCGTATGCCACAGGCACGCGATGCCGTACGTCAGCAGCAGGCAGGCGCACACCAGCCAGACGAGGTGCAGGCGCGCAAAGCGCCACTCCACCGCGTCGCGACGCCACTCCTCCTGCGCATCCGGCTTGATGTAGAACGTGCGCCGGTCGTCATCGGCCAGCTGCTGTATGATGTCGTTCTCGTCCTCTAGACCATAGCGCTGCTTGCCCACCTCTTTCCAGCCTTTCGAGAGCTCAAACGGTATACTTTCCGGATTGCTCTTCACTACAATACCATGGGTACTGGAGCGCCGTGATCGTGCCATGCTTGAAGGTGAGCGCTTCCTCCTCAACGCGCTGAGTAGGAAGTTACTTGTACGTCCGTATCGTGCCGGCGTCACCATGTCCACCATGCTTTCCGGCGCGGAACGCTCTTTGGCAGGGGTCGTCGCCGTGACGACGATGGTCGCAGGCTGCGCAGATGATTTGTGGTCGTCGGGGAACGTTGAACTCGGCATGTCGCTGTCGGCGTTGGGTGCGGTGTTGTCCGTTTCGCTGCCCGCCTCCTGCTCACCGTGTTGCCGCACGGCTAAACTCGCAGCAACATGGCCAGTAGCCACCGTCGCCGCCGCAGGAACAGTGTCAATGCGTCTGCCGGCGGACGCCACGGCACAGATGGGCACGGGTGAACGCACACTGCTGCCGCCTCGCCGTTGTTCGTTCATCAGGTTGTTGTAGATGGTCATGGCTCTCTGCGGGACGTCCGCTCCACCAGCGACGTCGCCATCAGCACCGTGATGGGCCTGTACATGGTCGGCAGTGGTTCGTGGTTGAGCTGTTGATGTCTGTGCTGCGCGTGTTTCAACGTGTGACGGTTGATAGTGCTTGGTGATAGCATTGCGGTTGTGAGCGGGATGGGGTATGTCGACAAAGCCCAATGCATCAGGTGCCAGTGAGTCGGTGGATTCCATGAAGCGGTCCGTCGTGGACACCTGCGAGATGGCGGTGAGATTCAAGCTGCTCGGCGGCCGCCTGTTCTTTTTACCGACGCACGGCGTGCTGGAGGTCTTGGCGTAGTGCCTGGGCACTCTCTGCTGCCGTGTGGTCTTGGCGGCGTCCGCCTGTTCGAAGTGCTGCACCACTTCGACCATGGATGCGTTGGCGGGCTTGTCTGTGTGTGTTCCTCTTCCATCCCCATCACCACCACCACCACTGCCACCGATAAGGTTCAGCTGTGCCCAGCGTTCCTGGGAGCGCTGCGACGTCAGGAAGTGGTACGCTATGCCCTCGCCCTGCCCGGACCAGGTGGCGCTCAGCGCAGACTCGCTGCCGCACTCGGTATCGTCAAACCAAGTCGTGCCCCCACCCCCGTGCCCGCTCTCGCTGGTCTGCACTGCAGGCAGAACGGCCGATGCTACTGGCATACTGGCGCCCGTGTTCCATGCTGCTCGAGCGCTTGGCACTGAGTGTGGGTTCTGTCCTGATGGCTGACTGGCGTTCTCCGTAGCTGCCGCCGGATGTAGCTGTTGTTGTTGCTGTTGCTTGTTATTCATCGCTGACTGCACGGACGTCGGTTGATCGTCTGCCTGGCATGCAGCCAGTGCCGATAGGATAACGTCCGTGACCCCACCCGGTCGCAGAGGCATGCGTGGATCCGACATTGGTGCCACAGCCACCGCCGCTGCTACAGCTGCTGCTGGTGATACTGAAAGGGAACATAAGGCAGCAAGACCAACACCAGTACATGCATATATGAGCCAGTGCATGCGAAAAGGGTGCTTAGTTCACTGCACACTGAACTAAATAAAAAACAACTTGAAGTTGCACTTTTCTGTGTGCGACTGTCAGACCGCACCCAACAAAACTGCTTGTAACTTGGGTATTACTGGGAGTTTTTGACTGATTTTTCTAATGATTTCTGAAGCTTGCAGGCATGTGGTACACTAAAGAATCCAATTTCCAAAATTTGAGGCGAAGCACCCTTTCCGCGTTCTCTGGCTCATATGCTATTCTACAGCATGATGACCAAAAAGAGTAAGAATTGGACGGTACGCAGCAGAAAATGGCAAAAAAAGCAGAGAAGTTTTCGAAAGGGCTCGAACAGGAACTCAGTTCAGAACTTCAAGCGACACTACCGGCACTACTTTTTTTTTACTGTGAGCTGCGATCATTGTAAAAAAAAGTTAAACAACAAAGTCAAGCGCCTTTGGGACTCTTGAGCTGTAACTTCTCACATTGGACGTATTGGAGCAGTGAAATCACAATGCTCCAGTATGTGGAGTACGTCCTCATTCCGTACTTAATCCGGACTCGGGAACAGCTCCAGCTCCCAGTGGACCAGCCTGCACTGGGAGTACTCAACGTATTTGCTGCGCATCGAGTGCAGAATGTACATAAGCATCTGGTAGATGCCAACATCCGCTATTGATACATCCCTGCTTGCTGCACAGGTGAATTGCCGCCCATTGACAAGTCATGAAACGAGTCCTTCACGGACGAGTTGAAGGATTGCTTCACAGAGTGAGTGGCATGTCAGTAAAATCTTGGATGGCCCCTGGATGAGAACCGCCCCGTCGATGTCGACTTGCCAACATCCACCATGAAGAGCCGCTAGCTAGCTTACCAGCGTCCATGAGAAGACGGCAGAGAAGACAGACGGACGCAAATGGTACTGGATATGAGAACACTAGCATCAAAGAGTGCATCCGAGAACGCACCACAACCACCACTGTATGGCAGCAGGCCGCCTCTACCAGCTACAATTCTGTGTCCGCCCCACTCAGCCGCTGAAGCTCCCCTTCCCGTTTTGCTCTCTGGCTGATTGCAACGCGCTGCCCAAGGACCTGTTTCCTCAGCGCTCATGCACACGCGGCCTTCAAGGCTTCAAGACGAAAGTCTACCGGCATCTGCGGAACCAGAACTGGTTCTAGGCAACATACACATATTATGTGCTGCGTTCATCAGCAATACTGTACTTTAGTCTGCTATCAGATACACCCATGTGCCATACAAGTGACGATGAGGAGCCTGAATGCCGCTGGGCTCTTTATCCATCTCTTTTCTCTAGTTGCTCTTTCACTTACCAATATTAGTGGTGAAACGAATGTCAAAACCTACTAGCCGAATATTGTTCGGCTTAACGAACGAATGAACGAATATTCTTTTGGTAACATTGCGAGCTACCTACGAGGCAGGCGACAGTGAGTGGTAACACGCACGTCCAGAGGTGAACTGTACGAAGCTCACAGGGGAGTTCCTCAGTGATCCACCCTTGGACCTGTGCTCTTTAACCTACCGTATTATTCTCTTTTATAAGCGCCGTGCTTCTATTTTTTCAACACCCCTCTACCCCGTGCTTATATTGGAGACCGTGCTTATATTGGAGACCGCGCTTATATTTTTTCAACCAATACATCCATACAGAGCAAGAAGAAATACATGCTAGATATCATGCGTGCAGCATTGATTTCCACCAAGACCGTGCTAATAATAGAGACTGTGCTTATAATGTTTCGAAAGGTGCTCACAGTGTTGTGTACCATACACTCAAAGGTTCCAAGAACTGAGACCGACCAGTATTTATTTACATGGCACGAACGATCAGAGAGGATGCAAGATAGAAAAGGAAACGAAAGAAATTACATGACTGTGTTGAAGCAAGAGAGAAGAACTACTTAGAAACCAGGTAAGACAAACCGTCAAAAGCACTAGCGCCAAAAAGACAACAACTGTCAAAGCACTAGCGCCAAAATGTAGCCAGATCGATACTCGATCGCGCCCGAGTACAGTTCGTACAGTCCGAGTAGCCAAATTAGTACCTCACGACGTCACTAAAACTAAACACAAAAAATACGCCGTGCGTGCACTCAAGAAATTCAAACTACGAGCGCGAAGCGAAATAAAGGAACGTAACTACGTCGTCAAATAGTGCAGCAGAGCAGTCTACTGACGAATCCAACATGGATATTACGACATCAGGGCACTTGCCTAACACAACGATCAAGGATACTGCAAAGCAAGTTACGTAGACCCAGGTAAGACAGGTCAAATACAAATCAATAAATTCAATGCTCAAGAAAGAATTCAAACAAATCAAGCATAGCATAGCCTAGCATAGCAGCACCTAGCCAGGGAATCAAGTAGGAGTTACAGTCATGACGAGATCTGACACACATTCACTGAAGACCTTTCCCACGACAACGCCATTCACAACACACAGTGTGCTAGTATTAGAGACTGTGCTAGTAATGGAGACCTGTGCTTATAATAGAGAATATACGGTATCTGTACGCAAATTGCCCTCGGCAGCATCTTCTAGCATGGTGCGCCAGTACGCTGACGATGTCGCCCTGTACCTAGCAGGCCGCAACCTACAACAAACTACCGAAGAACTGGCCCGAGATGTTTGCCGTATCAGGGACTTCCTGAGTGAACGAGGACTAATCCTGAATGCCAGCAAGGCCCAGTTCATTGTGTTCAACTCCAGATCGAAAAAAAGTATGCTCCTCCCTCCGACTCAACATTGAAAATGTCTCAATTGCACCAGCGACCACCGTCAAGTACCTTGGTATGACCTTTGACCAGCGCCTGACATTCACCGACCACACCAGTGCCCTTGAACGAAAGATAGGCGACAAGCTAGCTGCGTTTCGTAGAATCCGTGACCGTCTAACTGGTGATGCAAAGAGGATTTTCTACTGCTCGTTCATACAAGCTCAGCTAGTGTACCGTTCCGATGCGTTTTCCCATAGTCTGCAGGCTGGGCAACAAGATCGCTTGACTCGCTTCAGCAACTGTGCAGTGAGAACTATTTTCGGTTATCCCAGGTTCTGTGACATTTCTGCTATTCTAGCCAGATACCGCCTAGCTTCTATCTCCTTACGTTTGAGATTCAAATTGTTTGTACTTATTTACAGATCATTACATAAGATGTGTAGTCCACTGCTAACAGACTGTGTTTTGTGACTAACGTCAATGCCACACACACAGCGTCAATAACCCGCTCGCAGGTTACTCTGTCTCTTGCTCTTCCCCCGGCCAATAACCGCTATGGCTTGTACGCATTAAACTTCTTAAGTGCAGCCGATCGCTGGAATTCGCTCCCTGCTTCTGTTCGTATTTGCTCCACGCTATCAGACTTCCGCTGGATGATCCATACAAAAACATATAGGGTACCCTGTAAGAAGGCCTTAGGCCTTTGGGAATGCCCTATTAAAAATTTAATAAATAATAATAATACTTCCTCCGTTAAGCAAAACTTCGTTGCGTTTTTACAGTTCAGTCCAAATCATTCTATGGCTACGAACACGCTTTGCAAAGTGGAAAACAAGGCAGCATATGAAAGATATTTATTTACAGATGTCACACAGCTCGTTTCAAAGCAGTCCAGCTTCACTCTTCGTCTAAATCTGATGACGACTCACTCCCTGATGACATCGAGTCTGCATCCTCGCTGACTGTCGCCGCCAGCGCTGCTGCCAGCTTTTGTTCCGCAGCCTTTAAAAGTTTCCAAGACACGATTATTTTGATCGTGGAGATCGCCAAGTTCTTCGCTCGAACTGTGAGCTTGACGACCTCCACAGTGGCGCTGGTAGTTGTGGCCACTCTCCAGAACGCCATGGAAGGAGCCATACAGACCCAAACAAACGCTCTCCATCTTCGCAGCGGTGATTTTGGCTGTGTGCAGATGCGCACCATCGACTCGTGCTAGTACAGCAGTGCCTGAGCGTTGGGGTGGTCCTGGACACTTCTTCGAGCAACACGGTCTTTCAAACTGGTTCTCATTTTCGCACTTTGGTGTCATGCACGCGCGCGCGCCTGGGGTTGTGTTCTGGTGACATCCTGTCGAGAAACGGTTCTGCTTCGCCAATCTTTCAAAGGACTCTACGCTTTTCGGAGGTTCAAAAAGCCTGTCAGAACAATGGACGACAACTCAGCTACCCTATGCAGGGGATAGATCACTGACATGTATGTCTAATTCCGACAGAAATATCATGACAAGAACACTAAAAACGCAACGAAGTTTTGCTTAGCAGAGGAAGAAATAATAACAGAAATAACATCACATGACCTCCTCCCAGTCATTTGATGGATGTTGTCATTGATATTAGGTATGACAAACGGTGGTGCCACATAAAATGTACTGCCACATAAGGCTACTTCGAAGTTCATAAACGTTATGTGCCAAATTGGCAGTCCAGTATGGACAGACATGTGCATGCATGCAGTACGAAGTCACCGGCAGCCTGTACGCACTGCACTGTGCCATGTTCGGCGTCCATGTATGTACAGGCACTGCATTCGAAGTGACGTAACGAATACTCGAATGTGACTTAACGAATATTCGAATGCGACAAACCGAACGAATGTTCGAATATTCGAATATTCGTTTCACCACCACTCACTATTATTCTTTTCAAATTTCCATCTGCTGTGTGTGTGAGCGGTGAAGATACGGAGACCCCTGGTCAGCGAAGCTGCTTACACAACACCACACCGTCACTGCTTCTGTGTGCGGCCCCACTCAGTTGTTGTCGTGCTTTTAAGTATTTCTTTTGATGCTTCTGCGATTGCCCTGTCACAGCCCCAGGGCTTGTCTTTCGCTCACCTTGTCCATTTTCATCATTTTCTTCATAAAATATTTCTTCATAAAACCCCTTCACACATGATTCCGACAAGCTCAACCCGTAACACGCTTATCCTGACTCTTGTTAAGTCAGCCCGGTATCTAAAGTCCCCCTTGTTTGCAGTTACTCTCATTGGTTATCATTACCATACGGTCTGAAAACTTGTTCTTCTATTGATCAGTTTAATGATCTACTATCACAACTGAACTACTGTAAGACATGTTATTATAACGAGTCGCAAATTTAACGATTGTCCAAAATTCGTAGATTAACGAGAAGATATGTTAACGATCTTGCAGTATTTCGGCATATCCACACACAACATATATGAAGCAGTACGGCCACAACGGATCTTATTATAACGAAGGAATGTCATCCGTTAAAACGTTAGATTTACTTCCTCGTTATATATACATGTCTTACAGTAGACGCAATGATTATTATCGAAGAACATTCTTGAATACCTGGGTGATGCACGAATTTTGATTGTGCTCACTTCCGTTAATCGTTTTTCTTTGTAATTTTCCACTCATTTATGCTTTAATATTTGCTTTGTTTTCCTAGCTTACTATTGCCGTGACTGGCTCAACGCCCTTGTCTCAGGGGATTCTGTACCTGCATTAGCTATGCTTTTCACATGCTATGAGATTGTGTCTAATAATAATAATAATAATTTACGAGTTGCGAATGTAAACTTTTAGTATAAAAATAATATTAAACAAAAGAAGAAAAAGAGAAGAAAAAAAGCAGCCACGCTGCAATATGTGTACAATGATGCTGCTGTACAGTCCATCGTTTCAGCTGGGCATTCAGCGACACTGTATCTCGTATAGGAGAGACACTGTACGCACCAGTGCCAGTAGCGGCTTATGTGGCTTGTGTTGGTATTCGTGAAGAACATAAACACTAGTACTAGGCATCCAGTTACCTTATGTTTACAGGGGAAGTGCAGCGATTTTTCAAGTAGGGTCCAGAAGAAGGACAACTGGATATCGGTTCGAATGGCATATCTCTCACTTCCATACGATTAGCCAAACTTGCCGATTCGCCAATTGCATGCTCACGTCGCCATAGCGACCAGCTCAGTGATGACGTATGAAGGGCTCAGCTCCACCACAGAGAAGGTCGATCACTGCATAATTATGGTCATTTTCAATTGGTTTACTGTATTCACGAAGTGAAAGCTGTGTTCAATGCAAATTTTCACCAGTTGTAGTCTTCTGGGTGCTGAGTCGAATGGTCTTGGTCCGAGGAAGCTGAGACGCTTCCTTCCTCCTTTACTCCCAATCGAACTCACCACTTCCTCCGAAACTGAATGACTGCGCCCTACTAGATGAGGATTTGTATGCAAAATGTCACTAAAAGCGCCATTTTGTTCTTATAAAAGCACGGATGACCGCGATTGGCCCATATGTTGTCGTCTTTTGGACGCCGAGTCGACTGGTTTGGGTCCGAGAAGGCTGCGATGCAGCGTTCGATCCTTATTTCCAATTGAACATGGTTGAATAAGCGGTCACGTGCTCATGCGTACACCAGTCACCTGGTCACCGTGCCTGCAAGGTACAACTCACAGCCTGTTTGGGCGCGTTTCTCGAACTCGAGTTGAACCTTGGTGTGAAAGTTGTGGCCTGCAGGCACTGTGACCAGGTGACAGTGACCCTTCTGTTCAACAATGTATTTCATGTTTGAGTTCCCCGATGACTGTGACTTGTGCCTGCGTTCATGCTTTGCCAGCTAGGTTTTATTGTACGCTACGTTTCTTGCAGTAAGTGGGCTTCCACGAATGCTCCACCATATTTTCTGTCTCACTCCCTCCTGTCTGAGTGAGAACCCTCAGTTAGGGATATCAGCGAACGCACTGCGCAGCCCATCTGCGCAGGTCAGCCTGGCCCATCTACGCGCGGCCGACAAAAAAACTCATGAACCCTTTCATTTTTTTGCAAAATAAATCGTGCGAAGAAGATGCACGGAATGGCTGAAAACTAGGCTGAGGAAAAGTAGCATCCAGAGACTCTCAAACAAATTCAGGGCCCATCGCTTCTGACAATGGCAGCGAAGACATCAGGGAGCTGATTGCAGCAACTCTCTACCAAGCGCGACGCTGGTTACTCACCAGGGCAGGGCGCTTCCATCGCGCAAGAAATGGCCGCGAGCGAGAAATGCAAGTCCGATTTTGGAACGATCCAACCAGGGTAATCCCTTGAAAATTGGCCTGAACACCTCTCATACTGGTGTTTCACGATGTGCAAACTTTCAGAGAAATCGACCGGGGAGAACGTGGTGAGCTCGTGGGTCCTCCTGTATCGCGTATGATTTGAATGGTCGCGGGGACAGAAGAACAGTAATTTTACGACTCCCAGCGGTGCAAACAGACCGCGGCCATGTTTTCTCTGTCGGCCGCGATCACGTTCAAAAAATCGATGACGCAATGCATGCGCAGAGGCCTGCGCAGTGCGTTCGCTGACATCCCTACCTCAGTTATAATTATTTTGTTTCCTGTTCCACCCTCTTCGAAGTTTGATCCGACTTGATGCGAAAGTTCAGCTTGCGTTATTTGGCTCGCGCGTCGAAAACGCGAGTGACCTGCAGCTCACGTCGAAATTTGGAGTTTCACGCCAAATTTGCGTGAAACTGCGCGTCACGTCGGAAATATTGTGCATCTTAACCTCTCTATTCTCAAGATATTGTAACTTGCATTGTAGTGTTGAGGCAACGAACTAAAATAAATCAAAAAACGAACAAACAAGAGTTGGTTGCTGCTTGATATGACTGTGCTGGAAGGCCATCATTGGTCTCTTCAGCGTACAGTCCTGCTCAATGAAATCCAGTCGCGTCCCTCGAGTACTCACCGGGCGTTGCGCAGCCCCAGACCTGCGAACACTGGGCTGCGAAAAGGTGCAAGGCGCAGACTTGAGTGACGCGACTGGATTTCATTGAGCAGGACTGTATTTTGTAGACAGAGTGCACTTCGCGAAGAAAACAGTTCACATAGCAGTAAGCTGCACGATTCCATCATGCATTGCTTAATACCCAGATTTTGTACGCCTCTATCTATTTCCTTAGCCTGTCCTCGATTAACTGCTCCCTCTACATAAAGTTGTCATTTCATTCTTCTTGCAGGAGATCCCCTCGACAGGCCCAAAGCCTTTGGGAAATCCTTATATATTATAAAATACAAAATACAAATTACTGCTATTCACAACACAAACTAATTCACGGTTCGCGAGAGACTCGGTTTGACTGAGTTTCCGGCATCCGCAAGAACGCCACCACCACCACGAAACATAAATCAAACAAGCAGCCCTACCTAGGTGAAGATGCCATCCGTACCTTGTCTGTCATTACCGTTCGCTGCGGCATGACCCGAGACCGTCGCTGTGCGAGTTGCCGACGATGTCTCTCCTCTCTCGGGCTGCCATCGACTCCGGGACTTGGTGGTTGCACTGTCCGACGCATCATAGCGTGACGCGTGGGTGTTTCGCCTGCGGACTGCCACTGCTGCGGCTTCTTCCGCGAGCGACCGTTGGCTGTCGTTGGCAAGCCAAGATTCGGACAGTGCGCTCTGGTCACTACCTCCGCCTTCCGGCGACATTGCTGTATCGCTGGAACCGCCCTCGTTCGCTTGTGAGTTTCGACTTCGACGAAATAGGCTGGCCGCCCCGCCGCGTTCGGTGTCCGCTTGGCGCAGCAATTCTCTGTGCTGTTCGAATGGCTGCTGCCGTGCTGTACCGGTGGCTGACGCGTTGTGGTGGCCTCCGAGACCTTCCGCACCGCTAGCAAAGTCATCAACACTCGTTAGCTCGTCCATGGTATGCCCGCTGGGGTCCGCATGCCGCTCGGTAAGATTGACGTGATACGGACTCTCCCAGTCGTCAAGACCTGAGCTCTCGCCAGCCGCTGAGCTTTCCAAGGCTGTTGGTATCGGAGCTCCATGACCGGGCGAGCGTGGTGAATGCGGACTTGCCATCGAGGAGGGTGATTGGAAAACAACCCTCCGACGTTACCAGAAGGGCAGGGACGTCTCGTCGCCTACAGCGTCACGAGAACAACTAAAATAAGTGGACAAGAGGAAAACGGAAGAAACTTGGAAGAGGCGTCGAGAGAAAAACATGGACGAAAAGAACGCGGGAAAGAGAGAGAACTGACTGAAAAACAAGCCGGCGTTTTTTCCTGACCTCGCAAGCCAGAGCAAGGACCACCACGACTGCTGGAAAGGGAGTTGAGCACTGTGACAGCGCGAGTCAGCGAGAGACGGCTGACGAGGGAGCCATGGCAAACAAGTAACATGGCCAATCGTTTTCGTTACCAGAGAGTCGTAAAAATAATGGTGATATTTTTACGCCTCCCTGTGAAAACATTTTTTTAAATGAAAATAATCACCCTTGACTTCTCCCGACGTTCACAACGACGGTTACGTAATGTCGTTACATTCCCTGATTGGCAGTGATTCCCTCAGGCTCAACTATCATGTGACTTATTACGGAATACTAGGCATGGCGGATATGCTCGAAAAGGTGGCAGATTCTGCTCGAAAACTGACGAAAAGCAGTGAAATTGGCAGAACCATATAAACCTTGTGGCGGGCAATTCCTCGAATTCTGCTCCATTTCTTTATCCACATACCAAACATGCATGAAACTTACCAGAAAATGTACCCGAATTCTGCCAATTTTTCTGCCGGCGTTATCCGCAAAGGCCTACGGAATACCCATCGATATCGCCGGCATTATCGGCTGACAAAGTAACTTAGTTATCGGTGGCGCTTGGCAGGGTTCTCTTTCGTTGTTTCTCGGAGGAAGGAATCTGCAACTACAGATAAGAGTGGTGGGGTACGCTATTGTAGTGTTGCCTGTTGGTTGGTTGATTGGTTGGTTTATTTTAATTCGCACAATAAACGGGAACTGCGGCTACTTGGCCCAATGATATTATGGCGAATGGATAAGCCGCATTTAGAAAAGAGAGGACAGGACTTAGAAAATTACGAAAGAAGAAGTATCTGACAGAGGAGTCCGCAAGCGAGTATCAAGGGTGACAGGGTGGTCGAGGAGAGCTAGGGGGAGGGTTAGTCTGAGCAGCAATGTGGTAGGCAACTTATACTAAACTTTTTCTTTCTTGCTATGGTCCGAACGTCATCCGGCAGCGTAACATGTTATTTTTTGTTGTGTGTGGGCCATATTATGGTAAACACTAGCTGCCTAACATTGATTTTACTTGTTACTGTGACTTTGTGTTACGCATACCGGATTTGCAACAATACCAATAGGACAAATGGAAAACTTCATCCAAAGTATAAAAATAAAATAGAATATGCATACAACAATTACATGTCCGAAATCACGTGGATCACGAGAATCAGTCCTGTTAGTGTTAGGTGTTAGGCTTTTGTTGACGTCACTTCTGTCATTTCATTGTATCGTATTACTCTTCAGACATCAATCCTGAATGGCATAAGCGAAAGTGGCACCCCCACCGCCTACGCGGACATGCTTTTAATAATATAATGGGGCTGTTAAGTGATGACGTCACAGTTCCTTCGATACGCATAGCAACGATCCCACTGGGGACAAAAAAAAGTAGCGTCGTCTCCACCGAACCAGTTGTCAGTGGCAACATATAGGAATCGTGTACATTTCTTCGTTTCTTCTTTGCTGTTTTCAGTGAGTGTTTTGTTTTCTCTTTGTCCTTGATCTCGACGGTGTTGTCGTGCTCATTACCTAACTGAGACGTCTCTTGTGACTGTAGCCAGTGTCACGGAGGATTTTATTGGCGTGACGAGGTAGATCGCCGAGATCGACCGTGAAAAACGCTCTGCATTAGTAGCTCCTGTAGAATGTCTTCTGGAATGGCGTATCCATGGTCAACAAAGCCAAGGTGCAAGACAGCATAAGAGATCGTGTAAACGATGTGAACTCCAAAAGGTAAGCTCCTGAACAAGTGGAAAGATATGTGTATTTACAAACTCTCTCTTCATCCATCGATTGCCGCTATGCATTGTATTTTGTCTTAACAGATAATCTGGACAAATAAATTATTGTATCTGGAGAGTGCAATCGTGCTTGGGACCCATCCCACTGTCATCACATGGCTGTGGTGACTAGTGTATACCTGTACCCGGGAGAGTTTTTCCTCAACTGAGACGGAGTGTAGGTGGATGGATCATGAGAAATGCGAAGATGTGGAGTAAGTTGTGTCGAAGAAATGTGTAATAAAATGTGTAATAAAATAAAATTTACTTTACACTCAAAAATACATTGTACACTGTACATGTACATGTAACGTCATGATATACGTCATGATAATGATTCCATCTTCATAATCTCCGCAACAGGTACGCCATACGCACCGAATACATGGTGTGTGTGCACGCGCGCGCTTGCGTGCGCGCGTACATGCACACACTCTCATGCGTGGCCGAGTTGGCCGGATGAACAGACCACGCATTTGCACGAGGTGTCCGTCATGTCATTGGAATGCTGTACTTTATGACTTTATTCCAAAATGTCTTGCCCCTGTCAAATGGAGTTTGTGTCTATGCTCAGCGGGTATCGGGCCACGACGCCACACTGCAGTCAGCGCTGGAATTAAAATAGCACTTCATGGATTATTTTAACTAATTTCCTTTGCGTTTACATGTACTTTGTTGAGCCCGTGGTTTTATTTCTGTGTTCTGTTATGATTGGCCTCTGGAAATAATCGGAGTGGATGTCATTTTTGTCATATGTGTGTGCCTTGTGCAACAGGTTCAAGGCTAGATGCACTTCACATTCGGCGTGCGATCTCGGCGTCTGGGACCTGATAACGTCTTGGTTGGATGGGTAATCAAGGATGATACTACTCGGCACACCAATGTACATGTCAATGTATTTTTTACTTTTTCAGAGCTGCACTATTTACGGACGATTGTGTCTGTTAGAGAGGAAATAAATAGTATTCACAAACAAGTCCCACTTATTGTTTCTGTTTGTAAAAGGAAATTGCAATTTTTTGGTCATATTGTTCGTTCCAGCTGTTTGTCATTGACTGTTCTTCAGGGTTGTGTTGCTGGAGGTCTTGGCCGACGCAGGCCCAGAATGTCATGGCTTGATAATATTATTTCATGGACTGCACTGGACGTGCAGTCCCTGCTCGCTGCTGCACGCGATCGATTTTTATGGCGCTCGCTTGTTCATACTTGCTCTGTGACGCCCCGGCGGCCTTAGGGCTATGGGCTTGTGATGATGACTATTTACGTCTTGATGCTTACTTCGGTGCTAGCGTGTTTCCCCCGGATTATTTCTATCATCATGCGTGTTCTTGGGCTGAGCGAGCATATGCACGAGTGTGCAGCTATAACCCTGTGTATCTTTGGTTACACTTTGTTCTGCAATGCATGTACCTTGTAACAGTATGTGCTTGCACTGCTTTGTGTGGCCTGCGTATTTCAGGACTATTCAGTGCATTAGACCCAGGTTGGTTTGGTTGCCGGATGCTCTCTTGTTGCGTCACTCTGTGTTTTGTATTCATCAATTTCTGGGCTTGAGAATTGAGCTGGTGTGTGGTTCCCAATATCAAAACATCATGCTGGTGCTCTGTGTTTCGATTATCGACTGTCCGAGCAGTCACGATTCATTACCAGAACGGCCAATACTGTAGTCTCTCGACGTGTTTGTCTTTTTGTGTTTTCGCCGGGGGAATTAGCGGTGACGTTGCACATAGAACGGCAGTGTTGCATCACTGGACGACCCTGCCTCTGCATCTGATTTCATGTCCCCAGGATCTGGTGCAGATACACCAGACAGCCACTTCCTGTAAACACACAAACAGCAAAAGAAGAGATCCCGCAAATCAGGAAAACCATTGTGGAAAATATCGAGTAGATCACTATTATTATTATTATTATTATAGGCTTTTCCGCGTTGGCATCGCCAAGCAAGCTTGGCTAGCCTTCGCATAAGCTGCTCCACAATGATGAGACGAAACAATGAATGTATGTATACACGATCTAGGACAGAACCAAGGTTGAGGATATTTTTGAAGAAAGCTGCAAGTTGTGTTGAGGAACACAAAGTTACAAACTCTACGAAAGTAAACTGCAAGAAATGTTTTGGGGTTGATCTCATGATTATTGTAGTCACAGGTTGTGTTAGTAGCATTAAAGGTTGTGTTTTCACAGGTATATTGTTTACATTCCTATTCTTTTACAGGATAATATTTTCACAAAATATGTTGGTCAATGAGTTATGTTATGGTACACCGTACGGCCATGCAGCTGCCACAGGTAGAAGCAGTATTAGGCTTTGATGTATGCTTTTATCACATTGCTGCATAGGTCTTTCCAGTCTTGTCGTGACTGGGAGATGGCATGGAGGTTCTCAAGTTCCTCGCGTTTCTTGAGCGACCCCCCGATACGCTGCAGGTCCTGGTGCAGACTCAGTGGCAGAGTGGTACGTGGCCGGCCCCGCCAGGTGGCAGCGGAACTTGGGTTTTCGAAGTATGCTGCCATCATAACGCGTGCTGGTACATCGTCGTTCATACACCATTCAATAACTAAAATATTGCGACAGAGCTTTCGGCCAGATTTTCAATTCATTGCATTCCCAACTCATCACAACCACGCGCTCTTCAGCCGAACTATACAGACACCAGCAAGGACACTTCCGTTGAGAGATAATATTGCTCCACGCCCCTAGACAGCTGTTTCGCTCCCTGCCGGAGCTCATCAGTAGAGGATGATAATGGAGGAATGATCATTCTTATACACCAGAAATGGCGCAAGTGCGCGCTTTCCACATATATCAATGGCATATGCAAGCTGCTAAAATGGTAAAGTGTGAGAACAGCGATAAATAATCATAGTACGCGCTCATTGGTGGAGAAACACACTACACAAGCGACGAAAATCTTACTCGGAATACTGATGCCAATGGAAAGTACACGTATGAGCTCCGGCAGGGAGCGAAACAGCTGTCTAGGGGCGTGGAGCAATATTATCTCTCAACGGAAGTGTCCTTGCTGGTGTCTGTATAGTTCGGCTGAAGAGCGCGTGGTTGTGATGAGTTGGGAATGCAATGAACCATTCAATAATCTGGAGTAATTACAGTGAGACAAACACTTCAGTGCTCTCTCTCTCTCTCTCTCTCTCCTCATCCTTCCAAAATACCCTGTAACAATTCCCTAGAATTATTTTATTATATATTTTCAGGACATCATTCTGAACATAATAACTTCTTCCATGGGTCTTCAATCACCACGGAGGGCGAGAATATATCTAAGTCATGCAGTTTA